AATGTTGCTTGCAATCCATAGCCTCGCAATGCCATATTATGTACTGTGCTGTTTCAAGATCTTTATCGCAGAGTCTTGCAGCAAAGTATTCTTGACACAGGTTGAGCTTGTTCAGGTAAGACTTGACAGCCGTATATTCTGTCAAGAGACATATGTTGTAAGCAAAATAAAATGCTAATTCGCCACAATACTCCAAAACAAAAGTTGGATAAGCTGGAAATGATGATGATGATAATAATAACATTAACAGAAACTTTTTGATTATCGACGTTAAAAATTTTGTATATTAAACAGTTTTAAATAATATTAAATGAACAATGTTGAGTAAAATGATGTAATTTTAAATGAACAATATTGAGTAGGTAATATGATGAATTATTATTATTTAACAAAGCTACGGTCGATACGAGATAAATTAGAAATATTATCTCAACGTGAAAAGCATTTTTTTAAGTGCGAATTAATTCTCAAATCACTGGAGACCTACTATACATACATGCTTATTGAAAGATACAATAATACTGCGCGTATATACAGGGTCCGGCAATAGTGCGTCGGGCATCTGTAGCTTCTAGAATAAAAACCTTGGAAATTTTGTTTAAGTGCAAACCTAAAGTATATAGTAGGATGTATGTCAGGAAAATGTTTTAACTTCTATAGGGTGGCTCAAAAAAGTGTGAGTGGATCGTGATGAATTTTTTAAATGGAACACCCTGTATATTATTGCATTTTTGGCTTCCTTTCAGATCACTTTACATAATCCTAAGACATGAATAAATATATTTTGATAATTTTAGAGATATTAATAAATAAATAAAAATTATATATTTTTCAGCCTTTCTTAAAAAAAATATTAATAATACAAGAACTCTCCTGAAATCGAAACTGTATTAGATATTTACTTTAAATGGTCTGTACTTACTTTGCTACAAATATGAAAATCGTAAATCATACAGGATGTTCAAAATTCTACGCCAAACTTCCTAAAATATAAAATATTTTTACTTCGTTTTTTTAAATGGAACACCCTGTATATTATTTTTTATTAGATGGAGAATTAAAAAATGAACATTTTTTGTATTTAAAGTATTCCAAAATTTTTAACGGTTTCGCAAATATTCCCGATTTTATATTTCATATGGCATTTTCCACAGTAAATCTTTATCAAAGCCACCCAATGATTTTTCTCTCGTATGTTACCACTGAAAGCGCCATATGAAATAATATTGCGTATATCCGGAAAGCTATTAAAAATTTTGGAATACCTTAAATGCCAAAAATGCCATTTTTTAATTCTCCATCTAATAAAAAAATAATATGCAGGGTGTTTCATTTAAAAAAACGAAGAAAAATTATTTTATATTTTTGAAAGTTTGGCGTAAAATATTGAACATCCTGTATGATTTACGATTATCATATTTATAGCAAAGTAAGAACAGACCATTTAAAGTAAATATCTAATATAGTTTAGATTTCAGAACAGTTCTTGTATTTTTAATATTATTTTTAAGAAGGGTTGAAATATATATAGTTTTGATTTATTTTTTAATATCTCTGAAACTATCGAAATAGATTTACTCATATCTTAGGATTATGCAAAGTGATCTGAAAGGAAGCCAAAAATGCAATAATATACAGGGTGTCCCATTTAAAAAAAAATCCAGATCCACTCACACTTTTTTGAGCCACCCTATAGAAGTTAAAATATTTTCCGGAAATACATCCTGGTACATACTTTAGGTTTGCACTTAAACAAAATTCTCAAGTTTTTTATTCTAGGAGCTACAGTGCCCGACGCACTATTGCCGGACCCTGTATAAGGTATTCCTTATAATAATGCACACTATATGTATACAGAGTGTCTGAGTGTCAAAAAATAGTGTACAGTATAAAACAAAAAGTTCTATAAACACATGCCTAAAAATGGGCCCTGAGGAAGCTACAGCCCTCACCTGAAACATCTAACTTTTTTAGATAATATCTGTTATGTAACTACGTCGTTATTTGGTTTAATACACTCCATTCAAATTACTTCTAATAACCTATCAAAAATTTCCATACATTTCATTATTTTGTTAATGCTAAAATGGACGCATCGTAACCTTTAAAAGCAAATATCTTGAAAACCGTTCACCTTTTCGAACTAAACGAAGAGCACCTCTCTTAAGATACATCCATTGTGCACCGGCCTTCTGATTTCCGGCGGCATTGAAGCAGGTAGCGTAACCGTTTGCGTGAAGCGGAAATGTTTCATTCCACATCATGGAGCTATCCCGGGACCTGGGAGGGTCTATTATCTCTTCTATTAGCTAGTGATATAATGTTCATATTAAACTGATACAAAAAAATACTACTCGCGTTCATGAAATTAATCGGTCTCATTTTCAATTTGGTAAATACCCTTTAGGAAGGAGCATAATGCTATTCATGTATTCATGCATGGTGGGCGGAAACAAGTCGGTACAGTCAAAGGGTTGGTACAGTCAAAGCTGTAGTAGGTCTACTAACAGGGCATTGTAAGCTAAATAGGCATCTAAAGCTGATGGGATTGACAGACGAAGCTATGTGTAGGTTCTGTCAATCTGAAGAAGAAACGTCAGAACACATTTTATGTCGGTGTGACAGCCTGGCAAATGTGCGGTTCCCGGTAATAGGCTATGATAGGCCATTGCCAAGGAGCTACATGGAGGGTTCAGTCTCCAAGTTGCTAAACTTTGTCAAAAGGATAGGACTGGAGAATGTAATCTAAGGATCAGAAGAGGACCACAATAGATCTGAGAAGGTCGCAGTGGATCAGGCCGAAAGCCACCTCTAAGAATCTAATCTAATCTAATGGTGGGCGGAAAAACTACTCTAGGGTGGGGATCCTTGACAGTTCTGTTTGACGATTAATTTGACACATTTGAATTTGATTTGAAATTTTATGGATTTGTCAGTCTTTACGGAGCTTATTTTATGTTATTTATTGTTTATTTTACTATTGATAGTTGTATAAAGGTAGTAAATCTAGATGGAAATTGTGGCAGAACTTAAATTAACAGTGACACTATCGCGATTTATCGAAAAAGACTCTAAAATAGTTGGTTGTGTAGCGTGCGGTAGATTTCGGCAAAAATCCAGTGAAATAATGGAACAGCTTTTCGCTAGTAAGTGACTATATAATATACATACGTGTAGTAAACCGATCATTTATGAAATTCACTTAAATTAACTAATTATATATTTTTTCTTGCAATTTTGCTTTTATTTACTACTTGTCAAAGATTAGATGTCAAAGAATTTAGATACATCAATTTGATTTACCAGATTTACCTGCTTCAGTAGCGTATCGGATATTTGTGTTAATAAATAATTATTATAACTTATCTATTTTTATTAGAATTATATATTTTTGTAACAATTTTAATAACTACTAACATTTATTCACAACGTCAAATAATAGTCAAATAGAACAACGTATTATTGAGTCTACCCCACGTCTACCCTACATCATAGTTTTACATTTTTTAAATAAAATTAGAACGGCACTGATAAACTGGAATTTAAGTTGGCCATATTTGAGGCCTATCGCGGTGGACCTAAGATTTTTGATATGCTCCTTCCTTAGTCTTCAAAGGTAAATACCATACATTATATCTATAACCTATATATGAAACAGGCATAAAATATGTTGAAAAAAACTATAGACCTGTATATATATTTATATATTATCATTGTTGTCTAATATTCCTTAATCAAGAAAAAACAAACTTTAACATTATGTTTAGATCTTTTTAAGGCTTTTGACAACGTGGATCATAGAATACTAGTGGATAAACTTGAATGTTGTGGAATTAAAGGAAGTGTCCTGGATCTGATGATATCCTATTTAAGTGAAAGAACTCAGCAAGTTATGGAATATAACACGTATGGTAGAGCGGTTATTTCTGATAAGTTGTCTATAACAAAGGGTGTAAAAACCGTTAAAAAATTGCTGTAATTTTCAAAATATACAAATGTACTCAAGATGGTTATGATTAAAATCGATTAATTTTTAATAGATATAATCTTTATTGGAAGTTTAGAAATGAGCCGAGCAGTATATTCTGCTATATGTATAGTCCGCCGCGATAAAGCGGGCAGCTGGTGCACTATGGACGTACCCTTATGTAAAAAAGTCTTAATTTTGATGTCATGTGTTGAAATTAATGAAAGGTACCCCTTCCTTAATGGGGTATGTATATACCCTTCTGTAATGGTGCATTCTTAATGGAAGGTACCCCTTCAGAACTGTTACGGATTTTTACACTATATTGCCATTTAATATGGCAATAAAATGGCAAATGTCAAGGAAAACGGTTCACCAATAATGTTCTTAAAAAAAATTAAATAAGTATATTATTTTTATTTACCCTTTTGAGGGCTGTAAAAATGCCCACTAAAGTTTGATGCAATATCTTTTTGACACCCTGTATAGATGGTACGATTTAAAACAAATAAATTGGCAGTTACTTCCGGTTCAACCGATAGCGCCAGAAAGTGAGAATGATTTAAAAAACTACTCACTATAAATAACATTCAATAAAATGCTTTTGTCTGGATATGACACTTTAAAATATTAAAGTGTTCACACGAGACGGCTCCAATATCACGCGACATTGAAACTATAATTCAAGTACGTTTAATCGATATATTTATTTATAAAATCAACAATAATCTTACGCAATTATAATAAGGTATTATATCTGTTAATCAGAATTTCTATTATATTGAGGCGCGTCTAACATAGAGATAAATAAAAATATTCTAAAATAGCGAAGCTGTGTGCCATTTCAGTTCAGTACTAATTCCTAATCGTTTCAATTAATAACAAAATATCTGCCGCATTTTTTTCCCGTTTAGTATATCTCTTACGTCATCGATGTAAATTAAGTGCGTCTGGAATTCGTGAATCTGTATAGTGTGTGATTTTTGACTAATAACTGAGAATTATTCAAAAATAAACTCGGATTTCAGTGAAGACCTGCGAAAACAAATAAATCCTGCATTTCTGTGTATAATTTAATAGTTTACACAAAAAAACTCACCGTAGATTACATTCCTTTGGATGCAGTTCCCTTTTTAACCTGTGGATGAAGGTGGAAAAGAGACAACAGCGCCTGCAAGAAAATATCCCTTTCTCTGTCTCAATGTCAACAAGAGGTATTTTTAACTTAACCTCATTTTATTTTTGACAACATTAGTGAAAATTCGCACAAATTATGAACTTGAATTGAATTTAAATTAGTTTTTTTATAGTTTAATTAGTTATTTATAATGGTTAAGGGTGAATTTAGGGTTTTTCAGTGAAAAATACAGTTGTAGGTTGAAATTTGAGTGATGGATTCGAGCAAAAAACATATAAATCCCAGCCCGGAAGAATCGGCGAATTTTTTATCCAAGTTATGTTTTTAGTAAGTACGATATTTTTAGATTTATATCTTTACTTTTTTAACTGCTACTTTTATTTTCTGTTCAAATTTATTCGGTTTTATCAAAATAACATTATCTAATTGTAAAGATCTGTGTGAACAGTGCCAAATACTTTAGAAATTATTATTGAAATCTGTACTTCTTTCATAATATTCTCTAGTATTTTCTATTCTGGTTTATGCTTAAACGTACAAATTATATATTAATACAAGCACATTAACAGAAACTTATATTCTAAACATCTTTTATTTTACCTCTAATTGAAATGAAAAAGAAAACATTTAAAAACTTTACAGATTATTACACTGATTTTGGGCATATCCTTTTGTATATCAATAAAAATCATTACCATCAGCATTACCAAATTCAGATCCTTCAGATACCTATGACTGGTTTCTCAGGAAAACATATTTAATTTAATAATTACATATAAAGCAAACTATAAATATCATGATATATATCCTGAGATATCATATACAAACCTAGAATGCCACTTTATCTAAAAAAGAATACATTCAATCAATATGTACAACCAGTCATAACCTATGTGTGTGAAACCTGGACACTTAAAATGGACATTATAAGGAAACGTATGTGGCACAATGCTCGAATAGTAAAATAGTAGAAAATATTCCACAATGTACTCGATTACAAAGAGACTATCTAAATATGTAAGGGAGGCTACACCATAATAACTGGAAATGGTTGAATAAGCTCGAAATTATGATGATATCTTGATATATGTTCTCTGAACCCTGATTAACACTGTCAAATACTTTGGAAATTAGTATTGAAATCAATACTCTTTTTAATGTTCTTTTTTAGTATTTTCTATTTTGTTTAAATACTTTTAATACTAATTCTATGATTCTGTTTTAGTTGGGTATTGCCAATTTTTAAAGTAGGCTACGATAATGATCTCCAAGTCAAAGATGTGTTCAATGCGGTGAAATCAGATCACTCAGGTCCATTAGCTGATACATTAGAAAGGTAATTAATTGAATTTAAATTGTTAGTTTTCTGTTAGTAGGGTTTATCCTGTGCTTATCAATGAACAAATAAGCTATTAAGATACTATTGTTTATACAGTTTTTTTATTATGGTTTTTATCAATACTTACATAATATTTCAAGAATGTCATTATCGCTGTTCAATAGAAATTGATTCCCTGTGACCATGACATTGCAAAAAAAGACTGGAGTAGATCTATCAGGTCAAGTTAAATGTGCTTTTCCTTTTTTGTGTTGATGAGTTTATTTACAGTTTGATATAAATATGTTAGTTGATAAAAACATAAAAATGTGCTAGTTGTTAATCTCTAATATTTATATAATTTTGTGTATTGTAACAAAAATTTGAAATATTTAACTTATCACTATACTGGGTGGTCCATTGGTACATGGAAGTCCAATATCGTCATTGACAAAAATATAATGCATTGTTTATAAAGGAGCATATTCTAAAAATATTTTGTTGTATACAAGGTGTCCCAAAGAACATAGTGCACACACAACATCCAATTTTTGTTGTATTTAAATTATTCCTATATTTTTAACAGTTTCACAAATATTCGCGGTATTGTATTGTCTCTTTCAATAGTAAAATATAAGACAATAAAACGTGCATTGGCTGTTGAAAGAGCCATATGTCAACAACGACTCTATTGAGCTGCCTCGCACTAATGGACATATATTATAGTGACAGTTGTGTGTCACTTTAATTTAAAAGTGGAATAATTTTTCTGTCATTTTTTGACTCTCGCTTGTAGCTTGTAGTTATAAATATGTCATAAATTTTTTAAAAAGAAATAAAATTTTAAAAAAATTTCTTTCATTTTTTAATTGTTTGATAATAGTATTTTCTTTAGAAGAGTAGAACATAAAACTAGATTGATTAATGATTACAAAATATATTTTTTTTATTTGTTTAAACAATATTTAGTTTTGTAATTATTCAAAGTATTATTTAATCTACCTATTAGATTAGATTATTGTGTCATATAAAATTGATGATAATTTTATAGTATCTAATTATTACTATATTTATTTTCATATACTTATAGCTGTGCTTATAGTGTAGGGATTTCAGGATTTCACTGGTATTAGGATATAACGGGTGCGTCTGAAAAGTGGCTCATCCCTATAAATTTCTTATTTTTTCAGTTAAAAAAACGATATTTGGTATGTTAGTATATGACATAAATTAGGACTGATTGATGACTAGAACTTTTGATTTTTAAATTGCACCTTCTGTATTTTTTTACTCTATTCAATAGAAAATAACACTCTGAATAGAATGACATATCATGACACTTTTGACATTTTCGCATATGGTTTATTTGAAATTATAACATGCGGTTCATAACGAAAATTTGACTAAGTGCGTGGTATCAAATTATTCATAAGAAATGCTTTTTCCAAATATGCTAATGAGCCACCCTCGTTTCATTTGAAAAAATTGAGATATGATTAAAAATACGATTTGAGCATCTTTTAACTGGCCAGGACAAGACACTAAAACCATTAGACGATAAAATCTATTTTTCCAAGGCTCCTTGACTATAAATTAGTGTTTTTAACATAGCCATGGCACTCTAGATTGAAATTTCAAATACGATTTTTTATTAAGCGAAAATGTCAAAAGTTGACATATGATATGTCATTCTATTCAGAATGTCACTTTCTATCGAGTAAAGTAAAAAAAATACCGAGGGTGTCATTAAAAAAAAGAAAAGTTGTAGTTATTTCCGGTGAAACAGGAAGGGACCAAAAACAATTGAATACGTCAATCAATCCTAATTTATGTCATATACTAACATACCAAATCTCGTTTTCTTATCTGAAAAAATAAAAAAAAATTATAGGGGTGAGCCACTTTTCAGACGCACCCGGTATAAAATATTTTTTTTGAAAAAAGAAAAAGAAAATGATGGAAAGCTTTTTTATATATTATGTTTGTTAACATTGTCTAAAAAAAATAAAGATAGATCTTTTGTTAAAAAGTTTTCCCCATTTAATAATTTGCACCCAGTATATTGTTTGAAAATATCTCTAAGGTGCATGAGTCAAGTCAACTGATCAAGTCACTTGAATTCATTTGGTATGAATGATGAATAAAAAAAAAAAAAAAAAAAAAAAAAACTAAAACAAATCATGTCAATTGATCAAACGATTTGATTCATTTCTCAGTTAACTAATTTCCCGTTGAGGATTCAGGTGGCAGTTCTGCTGTAAAAAATGTCAAGTTGCCGCATTTATTTATTTATTTCCTGACATTGTCACTTGTTTTGACACTTTACTTTTTTATATTATGAGTTTTTAGTTTAAATAAATAGTGTTGTGATACTTTAAGCTTAAAAATGTTTACTAGCAGACTTTGCAGTCGAACATTGTCCTTTTTAGAACCTCTTTTAGTGCGAAGTGTACAAGATATAGCCGTAAAAAACTCATCGCAAGTTTATTAGAATATTTTGAACGGGAAAGCGGTAGTAATGGTCCTTTATGTCCTTTAAGTGCTGTTAAGAAGGTGAATTTTGTTGATGTAAATAATAACTGCTTATACAGGGTGCTACAAATTCGAGGTACGAGTATTGGTATCTCGGAAACAGTAATAGATACGAAGATGGTTAAATTGGGGCAAAGTTGCACCTTGAGATGTTTACCAAGATGCCATCAAAAAAGTTTTAAAAATTTCAAGGCTTGCTGAGTTTTTTGGAAAAAACGGATTTTTTTGAAAATCAATTTTATTTTTTCCTGTCGTTACTTTTTAAAAAATCAAAAAACCAATTACATATTCTCATAGTCACTTTATTAGGGCTATCTGATAGTACTATTAGATTTTCAAATTAGCTGATCATTTGTGAGATACAGAGGCCAACTTAATTTTTTTAAATACGGACCTGCATTTTTTATTTCAGGTTTTGAAAGAACTCGGTCTCCTGAGTATAATGATATGCCACACTTGATACTTATTTTTTGTTTCGGGTACCTTTACGACTCTGTTTTTTTTAAATTATTTAATCTGATGATATTCATCGCAACAATATTGATCAGCGCTAATTAACGTTGAATAAAGAAAATTGAGCCAATTTAAAGATTCAAATAAATAATATCCAGGTCAGCAATTTAAAGATATTATTTTTAACTTTTTTTTTATTGTGAATTTGGAATCTCAGTGTACGATCCATAAGTATTCATAATATTAATCGTAGTTATTATAAATAAATCAACTTCTATTAACTAGTTTCTAATGCTCTCCACGTTCGAAAGGGTTACCACCCTCCATCTAATGCACACATTTATTTTTTGTTCAATCTTATTTATAACTCTTTGAATATAACTTCTTGTTATAGTTCCGAATGCATTTTGTACTCTTTATTGTAAATGTTGAAATGTATTGGTTTCACTTTCGCAAATGACGCCAAGTAATGCCCGATTAGTTATTGCATTTGATTTTCCGTATTCAATGTTCTACCCCACGTCATTGTTAAGTTTGAAAGCTTATCAATATTGTAACGATGAATAGTTTAAATCTTAAAAAAAACACAGAGCTGGACTTGAAATTAGTTTAAATAAATTATGTTCAAATGCCTGGAACAAAAAAAAATTAAGTGTGGCATATCATTGTACTCAGGAGACCGAGTTCTTTCAAAATCTGAATTAAAAAATGCAGGTCCGTATTTAAAAAAATTAAGTTAGCCACTGTATCTCACAAATTATCAGATAATTTGAAAATCTAAAAATACTGTCAGATAGCCCTAATAAAGTGGCAATGAGAATGTGCAAATAGTTTTTTGATTTCCTAAAAAGTAACGCCAGCAAAAAATAAAAATGATTTTCAAAAAAATCCGTTTTTTAAAAAAACTCAGCAATCCTTGAAATTTTTAAAACTTTTTTGATGGCATCTTGGTGAACATCCCGAAGCGCAACTTTGCCCCAATTTAACCATGTTCGTATCTATTACGGTTACCAAGATACCAATGCTCGTACCTCGAATTTGTAGCACCCTGTATATTTATAATTAATTTATTTTTGTTTCCTAAAATATTTTGATTAAAAGAAAATATATAAAAGTGGGCAACGCTGTGCCGGTCAAGCTTAATCACGTGACAAAAAGTTTATTTGGTATGAACAGATTAGGTATTAAATTATTTGATGTACCATATAAGTAGATCTGTAGCTAATCCATTTTCTGACGAATGTTCGTCTTTTACGTCTAGTTTTTGAGCTTTCTGGCATTTCTATTGCCAGAATTTTGCCAACTTAAAGTACGGGCATACGCACTGTCGCCATTTTGAATCAACTAACAGAAGTTTTTTGATATGAAATGTATAAACTCGGAATATGCTTTCAAGTCAGTTGAATTCCTATGACTTGATCAATTCACTTGACCCATGAACACGCGTCTGACAACGCTGAACATTTTTTGTTTAATATAACACTTTCAGAAATTGGAACGATGAAGTACTTAAAAGAGAAAAAACGAAGAAAAAGCCTAGCTTAAAACGAGTAATATGGAAAACATTTGCCAAGTCTTATATGTTTTACGGAATCTTGCTTTTTGTTAATTCCATATTAGTCAAGTACGTATATAAACCAATAGGTAGCTGTATAATAACTAGCAATATAATGCGCAGTTGCACAAAAAATTATTTTTATCATAAGTTAATATTAAAAAAATTATTCGTAAACCTATTTTGTGCCGGATATTATGCAACTAAAACTCTGCATGATGAATATTAAAATACTTGAGTAACATTTAAATTACTGCTGTACCTTTCTCTCTACGGTTGTATGTACCCAAAGATATATAAATAAAGGGAGACAAAACTACATTTTTACATTTTATCCCGGCCAAACATCGTTTTCAACAAAAATCGAAGATGACAAATTTCTGCGGATTGCGTTAGATCTACGGTTTGTGTTTGAAAACGAAGTATGCTATTAATGATTTTTGGGTACTTATTATGAGTGTAGAGATGAGGAGAAATATCTCTTGTGGGATTTTATTTGAAAAAGTGATCACAAAAATGGGAAGAATAAGGGTTCACCAAATGACCATAGTAGCGCTAATGACGCATAAATCTAAAAAATGAAAAGTAACCATAGATAATAAGAGAATAAAAGTAACATATATAACCAAACATTACCCAAACAAAGCTTTGTTTTTATTTTTTAGAATATAAAACAATTATTTTTATATATTAGAGGCCCCTATATATTGCTGCTGAATAAAGCGGCCCTCACACAATCAATAATATTGTCAATATTTTGGATTATTGACAATATTATTGAGCGTACATGTTGATGTACTTTCAATATATTGATGGATTTTCGGGATCCTGAAAATACTCGACAATATTAAAGGCGGAGCTAGTCGTATTTACAATATATTGATTTTTTTACCCATACCCCTTTTTCTTTTAGGATATCCATTTTTTATATAACTATTTTCTTAAATCTTTTCCTCTATTTTTTCTCACTGACTGACACTCACTGCCAAAATGACACGCTTTTTTTATCTTTAATTTTTTGGCATAGGGTATAATTCACACTTAATATCTGCACAAAACTTAATGTTGATATATGTATTGACCGTGTCAGGCCAACTTTCAAATATTGATAAAATATTGACAATAAAAAATATTGAAAATATTATTAATCGTGTGAGGGCCGCTCTAGTTTTATTGACAATATATTGATCGTTAGGTCGCATGATTGACAAAATTTGACTAGTTTATTCGTAACTATGGCGGAGGACGGAACATCGCCTTCGTTGTTTTTACAGGGTATAAATCACACTTAATATCTGCACAAAACTTAATATTGATATATGTATTGACCGTGTCAGGCCACCTTTCAAACATTGATAAAACATTGACAATACAAAACATCGACAATATTATTGATCGTGTGAGGGCCGCTTAAGACATGAAAATTAAATTTGTATTTTTTTAGAATTTACTTAAGTTTTTGTCAATCAGGTATCGTTAGGCATGTATATTTTACTGTTTGTTTTTAGATTGTCACAACCCATAGTTTTAGCCGAATTCGTAAATTATTTTGATAAAAATTCAGTATTATCGAAAGGAAGTGGTTGGTTACTAGGATGGGGAGTAGTACTGCTCGCTTTTACAAATGTAGTTGTCATGCATTATACGAGCATATACTGTGCACGCATAGGCATGAGAGTGAGGATTGCCTGTTGTTCTCTATTATATCGAAAAGTAAGACTTCCAAATTGATACTTAACTTTGGACTTATGTTTGGTGGATACGTTGAGTATTAATTCTAACCTAACTCTTAATATTTAACATTTACTCTAAAAGCGGAGATTGACTTAAGCCGAGCACGGTAATGTAACGTGTTATATAAAAAACAAGTATTTGCTAGCATGGTACAAAGAATACAAGGTATGATCGATAGCGGCTCCAATTTCGTTCAGTTCGCTCATACCACCTGTGACGTCACTAGGAAAATGAGGAATAAATAAAAAATAAAGAAAGTTGACAGGAGATCTGCATTTTTTGGGGTTATGGTTAAGAATTGTTTATTTTTAAGACTTTTTAGTTCGTTTAATTTAATAATTACTAAAACCAGCAGTTCCAAAAGAATATATTTAAAAATAATAATTATCTATTAACATGGATTTGGACTTTGGACCATAATAGGTAAGAATACCAAATTTATTTCTATATTCGGTACCTATAAAATTGTTTATTAGGTTTTTAATTTGCGATGTTTATGGTAAATAATTTTCATGTTCATTGCCTCTGAACCACAAGAGGAATTGTTACATCATTTAAAAAATGTTGGGAATTTTATTGTTTCCCATCGAAAAGTAGAAAATGCCAATGCAGATGAATATATTGTAATTGTGATAGAAGTAATTCCAAGGGTGAAGTTTATTATAATTAGTAACCTGTGCTTCTTTTTATATTTAGATGTTTCAGGTTTTGAGAATAAATTGGTTGAACGAAACCCAAAATTTAGAGGAAGTATTTGCATACCCAGAATATGCCCATCAAGGATTATATAGCTCAAATTTCCTTTAATGGTAGGCAATTATTCAATGCAAATTAACTTTTTAAGTGACTGAAATATTAAATAGTTTACAATATGGTATATCATTAAAAATATATTACTTTTAGGTACAATTAGGGCCCGATACATTTCAAAAAGTAGAATAATATTTTATATTAAATGAGGTATTGTACCAATAATCAATTTATATTAATATCGGAGATTAAAAAATAACAGAATAAATAGTTCTTTCTTTTATACTACAAAAATAAACTATAGAATACAACAGTATTTAAAAAAATAAATAAAAAGTTATGTCCCGGCCGAGATTCGAACTCCGGTCTCTCGCTTCCTAGCCCGACTCCTTACGCACTGCTCCACAGTAACTTGCTTAGCGATAATTCAGTGACGGTATATAAACAAAAAAAAACAGGTTTATAACAATATCTTGACGATTTGAACTGGCGCGCGGAGCGTGCTGACCAATAGCGCCTGTTATCACCTGTGACGTAGCGACCAACCTGCGTAATATCATACCTTGTATTCTTTGTACCATGATTTGCTAGTCAATGCCGAGAACCAGGCGGCTCGTGAACAACGGTGCTGCACTCGACTATCGTTTTTTAGTTTGTACAGGTTCAGCGAAAGTCGCGAAAAGTATTCTAATCATATTTCTAGTAGATACAGCGATTGTAATTAGAGATGAGCAAAAGTGCGATTTTAATATTTAAATATTGTACTAGGAATATAATTGTCTGTGTATGTACCTATAGCTTAACAATTAAAAAAAAGTTAATAAAAATCAGATTTTAAGTTTTTTTTAACATCTGTCAATTTGATTCCAAATACTAAATATTTTTTTTTAAATATGCTAATGAGCCACCTTCGTTCCATTTGAAAACATTGAGATATGATTTAGAGAACATTGAGATATGATTATATTTTTCTAAGGATCCTTGATTAAAAATTAGTGTTTTTAACACAGCCGTGGCACTCTAGATTGAAATTTAAAATACGATTTTTTTTAACTGTAAATCTAAAAAGTTGACGTATGATATGCCATTCTATTCAGAGTGTCATTTTAATCGTATAAAGTAAAAAAATACCGAGGGTGCCATTTAAAAATCAAAAGTTGTAGTCATTTCCGGTGAAACAGGAAGTGATTGAAACGAATTGAATACGTCAATCAGTCCTAATTTATGTCATATGTTAACGTACCAAACAAACCTATAAGTATGTATAATAATAATACCTTCCCTATAAATAAATAAAATGAAAGAAAAAGTTCAATCGCAGTTTACTATAAAATGCTTCAATGGATAACAAAATTACATTCGCAACAAAATCGCAAATTGCAACTCCTTAAAAACTCGCAGATAGAAGGTTATCACGGTCCTAGTTTACAAAATCAAAATCGCATCAAAATCGCAAAATCGCTGTAGTAATATTGGCTGCCTAAATTGAAACTCGCAAATAGAAAAAATCGCAGTCGCATTTTTCTATGAGAGCCAATCGCAGGTTGCGATTGCGATTTTAAAATCGCTCCGATTGAATCGCAGTTTGCAATTTGTTACTCATCTCTAGTTGTAATTGCGGTTAGACATGCTTCTTTTAATTGGCGTTTTCAGAAATATAATAAATAGCTAAAAAACGTAGCAAAACGTAGCACTCTCAATTTCTAGATCTGACTTTAAGGCTGAAAAAATACTATGGCACAGCATACCGAGCATTCGAAACGAGAATTTCGAAAGACTCAAGTCAATCTTTGTATTTAGGGTTAAGATCGGTAGTATGAATTAGCCATAAGATCATTTTTTTAGTTACTCAGGCTAAATCACGTGTCATTGGCCAAAACAGCGGCAGGTCAGCTGATTAATTTAATGTCGAACGACGTACAGCGGTTCGATAATGCCGCCATATTTTGGCACTACCTGTGGATTATGCCTTTGCAAACTGCAGTTGGGTTTTACGTCATGTATAGCTATATAGGATTAGCGGCTGTTCCAACTATCCTAGCCATGACATTGCAAGCTGTATTTGGGCAAGGTAATTGAAGGAATTATGGAAATGGTTCTAACCAATATTTTTTTTATTTTAATATTTTAGGATATTTATCAAAACTGCAAGGTTTTTACAGAGGTAAAATTGCCCAATTAACAGACAATAGAATCAAAATCATGAGCGAAATCACATCAGGGATTCAAGTGATTAAAATGTATGCCTGGGAAAAACCATTTGAAAAAGTTGTAGAATTGGCAAGAAAGTAAGTTTCTACCACAAACCCATATTTTTTTTTTGTATATTGTCGCGACCTCGGTGGTTTTAGTTTTGTTCTTGATAATGTTTGTACTGTTTCTTGTAATTTTATATTTAAATATTACAGACATGAAATAGATATGATAAGGAAGACTTCATATATCAAGGGATTTTCTTCGGGATTGAATGTTTTTGTTGAAAGGGCAGCACTGTATATTGCTGTAGTAGCATATGTGCTCTTAGGAGAACGAGTAACAAGTAAGTACTATTTAAACTACACTAACATACAAGAAGGGTAACAATTTAAAAGATTTTTTAATTTAAAATAGTGGAAATTCATAAATTTATTTTAAACGCCTTCTACCATATAACTCTTTGAATAAAAAGATTAAGGAATGAGTATAATGCTATCCATGTATTCATGACAGTTCTGCTTGACGATTCATTTGGCACATTTGAATTTGATTTGAAATTTTGTGGATTTGTCAGTCTTTACCATAGATAAAGGAAATAAATTTAGATTGGAAAGCCCGTCAAAATATATAATTGTTTTTGGTCGCGACCGTTGTACGCGATCTGGCGCTGCTATAGCAGTTGCTAAGTGCAACCGCCAAACAATAACAGAAATAATTTTCTCTTGTCAAAATCAGAATCTTCAAAAATTATATAGTTTTTTAAAATTTAAACCGCCCTCATTGAAAAAATACCGAAAAGTGTTTAAAGCGTCCATTCTCAAAGTAATTATTGCTATCTTGTGAGTTTAATTTAAATTTTATTTACTTAAACCTGTGATTATTGTGAAAAAGGGGCATTAAAAACTAAAAAACTGTGTTGTAAACTGTGAACTACAAAAACCATCGTGGATCGTGGCATAACGTCGGTTTGCGATGTTTCATAGGTATTTTACATACATGTACTTATATAAAATAAAGTTTCTTGTATGCGACACACTGTATTTTTTTATAAAATTAAAAGAAAATAAAAATGATAAAATTGAATAAATAATATTTGGCGACATAATTCTGGAAAAAGCCGAACCGATTCGAAATTATCAAAAGCTTTGGGTCGCGACCGTTGCAAGAATAGCACCAAATAGTGTTTACATTTTACATTATCCTTATGGGCACCTTCCAATCTAAACTTGTTTCATTTGTCTATGGTCTTTACTGACCTTATTTTATGTTAATTGTTATTTTTTATTCTACTACTGATAGTTGTTTAGAGGTAGTAAATCTAGAAGGAAATTTTTGTAGCAGAACTTAAATTAATAGCGACACTATTGCGATTTATCGAAAAAGACTGTAAAATAGTTGGTTGTGTAGCGCTACCGCACGCTGTCTGCACATGTCGGTTAAAAATCGAGGAAAATAATGGAATAACTTTTCTCTAGTAAGTGACTATGTATATAATAAACATGCGTGTAGTAAACCAATCATTTATGAAATTTACTTAAAATTAACCAATTATATATTTTTTCTTGCATTTTTGCTTTTATTTACTACTTGTCAAAGATTAGATGTCAAAGAATTTAGATACGTCAATTTGACTTACCTGCTTCAGTAGCGTATCGGATGTTTGTGTTAATAAATAATTATTATAACTTGTCTATTTTTATTAGAATTATATACTTTATAACAATTTTAATAACTACCAACATTTATTGACAACGTAAAATAAAATAAAAAATTATTGAGTCTACCCCACATCTACCCTACATCATATTTTTACACGTTTACACAAAACTAATTTTAAGTTGTGTATATTAACATTTCCTAAATCTAATTAATTTTCAAAACAAACGAGATACTGATTTGTATCTCTAGAGATGGACTACTCACCCTGTATATCTATCTAGGTGAAGTTGTATTTTCGATGGCCCAACTTTTAAACACCATCCAACTCTATATGTCTATCCTCTTTCCTTTGGCGTTATCGGGTTACGAAGAAGCTAAAGTTTCTATAAGGAGATTAGAGGAGTTTCTTGTATTGGAAGAAAACCAAAGTATTGGTTATTCTGATAAAGGTATATTTTTTATATCTATCGAATTTTGTTTGTGACAAACAATTTTTTAGAAGAAATCACTGAATCTAATTCTATTAAATTGACCAAAGTAAAAGCAAGCTGGTTAGCCAATCCCATTGCGCATACTTTGATTGACATCGATTTGGAGATAAAAAGTGGTACATTTTGCTGTGTTGTTGGAGTTGTGGGGTCTGGTAAAAGTTCCTTATTGCAGGTAAAAAAATAAAATTTCTAAAAAAAATTATATGGTTTCTTATTTTTTTATACAGGGTGAGTTTTCTCCGATGTTCTCTATGGGTATCTCGAAAACTACTGAAATTAGAGAGTCGGTTAAATGGGGAAAGAATTGCAGTTTTTTGGGGTCATAAATATGGGCCTTTCAGATTTTTGAAAAAGTTCATGACTCACTAGATATTTTGAAAAAAACAAATTTCGGCTATTTTAAAAATTGTCCCTAATTCCATTATTATCTAATTTAGACAAAAAGTTTTCAGATAAAAGTTGTAGATAATCACATCCCTGATGAGTTGGTTTCGTCCATTTTTTTTCTACACCCTGTCATTTTTGACATATGACACAAACATATGTTTTTTTTAAATGGAAACCATAGTTGGCCATGCCTTCATAAAAAGCGCCATTTTTAAGCTTTTCAGCGATATAAGCTATAATATGTCTTTTTCGAAAAATTACTGAGTTACAGCCAATTCTTATCATTTTTAAACAATTTCACATAGTTAGCCATGGAAACAAGTTTAATCGTCGTTGCTCTCAGAAATGTGAAACTGTCACATCCAAACTTTGTAAATTAAAATTAACAAAAATTGTAAATATAAATTTTTCAAATGAAGAAAAGCGTGTAGGCTTTGGTGTAGGATTATTGGTTCAACTTTTCTTGGCCATACATTTTCGAGGATACGTTGACTGGTGAACGTTACTTACGTTTTTTAGAGAACGGTTTTGAAGGCATGTTATAAAAGTTATTTTGTTAGAAAATTTAAATTCTCGCGCATCAATAAAGCTGATAGCAAATAGAGTGGTTCCTTCATGACTTTCATTATGACCCCCCCCCCCCAATAATAAAAGACATGTTAAAAAATATTTATATCATCATTACGCAAACTCAGGGATAGGAGGAGGTGGACCAATTGCATGGGCCTCCTCCATCACAGAACCTATCCATTTTAGATTTTTCATGCGGTATGGTTAACAACAAGGTTTACAAAAAAAACGTATGAATTAAGAGAGGCACTCGAAGAGCGGTACGGGAGAAGTTTAATTAAGTTGACCGGTTGTTCTGTGAGATTAGCTAGTAATTCAGTTTTAAAAAGATGCATTTATGTACTCAAAACTATGGCGGATTTTTTGAACAGTTTCTAAAAACTTTTACGTTGTGTAATGAAAATTGTAAAGAACCGTTTAATAATATATTCTGTCTTTTTATAAGTTATAAATCATAAGAGAATAAGAATACCATCCCAACTAAGTGAGATTAGTCAAGAAAGTTAAGAATTGGCTATAACACAGTAATTTTTCGAAAAAAAAAACATATTATTCTTATAATACTCTCTTATATCTTATATCGCTGAAAAGTTTAAAAATGGCGCTTTTTATGAAGTCATGGCCAACTATGGTTTCCATTTAAAAATCATAATGTTTAAATAAAACGTTTGTGTCATATGTCAAAAATGACAGGCTTTAGCAAAAATCGGAGAACACACACTCATTAGGAATGTGATTATCTACAACTTTTATCTGAAAACTTTTTGTCTAAAATAGATTATAATGGAATAAGGGACAAATTTTGAAATATCCAAAATTTGTTTTTTTCGAAATATCTAGTAAGCCGTGAACTTTTTGGAAAATCTGAAAGGCGCATATTTATGACCCCACAAAACTGCAATTCTTTCCCCATTTAACCGACTCCCTATCTCCAGTAGTTTCCGAGATACCCATAGAGAACATCATAGGAAACTCACCCTGTATTTAAACCAAATCTTTTTTGGTTTCGACACAGTACTGTCGTTCAATATTTGCTGTCCTCCATTCGCGAATTTCAAGTTCCAGAGCTTTACGCCCTGGGCTACTCAGAACGGTTCTGAAAGGAGCTGTGCGTGATAGCCTGGTGCTTCCATATGGCGCGGAACAGTTCTGAACTTTATGACTCAATTGAATGGAGTGAAAGTATAGCGTTCTTGAACAGTTCAGAGCTGCACAACTGCGTGAATGGAGGACAGTAATTGGGACAAGAAGTAGCTACAATATATTCTTTTAAATGTATATGGGGGGAATAAATGACAGTGGCAGTTTTCTGTCATGTTAATTCAAGGATAAAGTGTAATTTCTGATATTTTTTGGATGCCATTTGTCGAAATACAACAAAAATTCAGATAAAATATTATTTTTATTTTTCAAATACTAGAATACAAGGCGTTTTCTAGTATTTCATTATTTATTATTATTTGTCATTTTAACTAAAACTCTCTGAATATTATTTCAGTTTTAAACCTTTGTGAAGTTTTAATGAATGTTCTGTGCGTCAGGGTAATTATTTTTCAATTTATGAATTATTTCTTCAGGTATTATTAAAAGAACTTCCTATTAGTATGGGAAGAATTCAAGTTCCTAGCAAAATATCCTACGCATCTCAAGAACCATGGCTGTTCACCTCCAATGTGAGGCAAAACATATTATTTGGTCTTCCATACGACAAACAAAAGTAAGTATATATTTTTTATAATATTTATACTGAAATTTATTCTATAATCTGTTCAGCAAGAGAATATAATATTATATTTCTGTGATGGTTGTCTGTATCTTGAAAGCCAAAATCTTTTTTTGGATGATGTCTGTCAAAATAATGTATTCTTTTGCTAGACAGGCTATACTTTATTAGCAGCGTTTGCTCTTTACTCATATACATATATAGAGGGTGTTTTTCAAAAGTGACTCACTCTTATAACTTTTTTATTCTTTCAAACAAAAAAAAAATAGAAATCGTATGTATGTGATATAAATCAGGATTATTGACGTATTCAATAATTATTTTCGGCCACTTTCTGTTTCCTCAATGTTACCCTCGATATTTTTTTACTTTATTGGATATTCTGGATAGAATGAAATATCATAATATGTCAACATTTGACATTTTTGCTTAAAAATAGTATTTTTAATTTTGATCTAGTGCCACGACAATTAATAAATGTATCGACAATTTGACTCGAAATGCCAAGTATGTGGTACAAATTATTCGTAAAAATGCTGTTTCCAAATATGCTAATGAGCCACACTCGTTCCATTTGAAAAAAATTGTGTTATGTCTAAGAATACGATTTGGGCGATATTTTACTGGCTAGGAATACACGAAAAGCATTAGACCATCAAATTTATTTTTCCAGGGCTTCTTGATTAAATACTAGTGGTTTTAACCAGGGTTGGCATGATTTAAATCATGATTTCAATCGTGATTTAAATCAAGTGATTTTTTAAATTTTAATCATGTGATTTAAATCAACAAATTAATTTTATTGAAACTTTATAATAAATGAAAAAATAGCTGTAAAAGTTATAAAAATCTATCCTAGAAAACTATAAAAAATATTTCTATAACAGATAATAAATCGAAAAATAATTGTAAATTTTATAAAACTATATAAAAATATCTATTCATCAATTTAAATGTTGAACCGATTTTTGAAGTAATTTCGTGTGAATCCATAAGACCGCTAAACGCAGGAATTTATTTTAAAATTTATTTATAAGTGACAAAAATTCGCTTTTCGAATATATATCATTCGCCGACTAGTGCAGAACTAGGTTCTTCTGATATATAGACTATATCTTCATTCCCGAAAATCGATAATCGTTGTCAGAAAATATGTTGTTTTATATTTTATTTTTTGAAACGTTGGTATGTTTCCAAATTCTTACCGGCATTTTGATTTGCAGTAAGTACTTTACACTTTGCCATTAGATAATACTAATTTCATTCTCGACTTAAGACTATTTCCGAACAATAGTGTATTGTTTTATTAAGAGTAGAAATTATACTTTTTTTGACGATGCTGTACATTTGAAGGACCATCGTAAAGCTATTCCGACGTTACAAGGAGGCACAAAAAGTACATTTTTACTGCGAATAAAACACTATTTTTTTAAAACATTACAAATAATTTTTTAATCAATTTCAAACATTGCAAAAAATACAACCAGTAATGGAGAAACGATTTGTACACTCGTTGAATTTGACACCTAATATCAGTTTAATAATATATTTTTGTACTTTTGTGCTTAGGCGTAACAGTGCTTTACTTTTATGCTTATAGCCGTTAAAATGACAAAAATTAATACTTTTGAGACGTTTGAAAAAAAAATCCTTTTGATCTGAAGCGAGCGACTTTTTTGCCGAATATATTGGTGACCGATGTGGAAAAATGACACGCCCCGTAGAATTGTTAATGTTATCGATATCGCTCAGAGTTATTAAGATTTAGCCATTTAGGATAGGACTTTAATTGGAAATAAATCCTAGTCATTTGGAAATCCGATTTAAATATTGTTTTGAATTAAAATCAAAAAAATCTGATTTAAATTAAAAAAAATCCGATTTAAATAAAAAAAATTGATTTTTTTAATTTTTTTAAAAAAATCATGAATTTTTCCAACCCTGGTTTTAACACAGCCATGGTACTGTAGATTGAAATTTAAAATACTATTTTTGTAATAGAAAATGTCAAAAGTTGATATTATGATATGCCATTCTATTCAGAATTTGCGGTGAAACAGGAAGCGATCGAAATTAAATGAATACGGCAATCAATCCTGATTTGTCATATACTAACATACCAAATCTCGCTTTTTTTATCAGAAAAAATTTAAAAAAAAAAGTATAAGGGGAGCCACTTTTGAGAAACATCCGGTATATTTTCAAGGGTTTTTAGTTAATTATGTGACATTGTATCTATTCATGAAATTTAGATATAAAAAAGTTGTGAAAGTTTGCGCCTTAGAACGAGATTTAGACGAGCTACCTTACGGCGACAAAACCCAAGTTGGCGAAAGAGGAGCAGCTCTAAGCGGCGGACAGAGAGCTAGAGTAGCTCTAGCTAGAGCAGTTTACAGAGAAGCTGACGCTTATCTCTTCGACGATCCTCTAAGTGCTGTCGATGCGCACGTTGCTAAGCATTTGTTTGAAGAATGCTTGCAGAGCCATTTGAAGGGGAAAACTAGAATTCTGGTGACGCATCAAGTGCAGTTTCTTAAGGGGGCAGATCTTATTGTCGTCATGAGTAATGTAAGTTTTAATATAAAATCTAGTTTATAATTACACTGGTCTGCAAAAAAAATCTTGAAATAGATTTCTGTCTGAAAACGTTCTATTCTTTTTTAATCTTTCTATAATAGTGTTAATTTTTGACAAGCTTTATGTCAATTTTTAGTAAATGATGACTAGAGATTGACCTCGCTAAACTTATTATCGATTGGCATTCCCCAGCCGTCTTTAGCGCTCTTTTTTCTATCATACGGTATATGGTTTAATGAAAAATAATTTTAGGGAAAAATTGACAAAGTAGGCTCGTACAGTCAGCTAGAAAAAGACATACTATCCCTATCAAAGGAAATAGAACAGCAACATAAAGAGTTGAAATCAGAAGAAAGTATTGAAGAACAAGAAGTCCAAAAACATGGAAAAAGGGAAAGATTGCAATCAATATCCTCAGTCATTGTTAGTAAAAAAATATAAACTTTTTGATTTTTATTTTCATAATTTTAATGTTTTGCTAGAGTATGGTTGGTACTGAACCAGATGAAAATGAAGAATTATTAGAGAAAGGTTCAATCAAATCATCTACGTATGTAGAATACAGTAAATCCGGCGCATCAACATGTTTATTAATATTTTTACTGATTTTACTCATAATAGCTCAAGCTATTTGTAATGCCTCTGATATGTGGGTCACTTACTGGTAAGTTCATGATTACTATTATTTATTACATATATTCATAATCATTTTCAGCTTATTCAACCATTTACAATTATGTTGCAACCTCCCTTACATTACATATTTAGATAATATCATTGTTATTGGGCGCATTGTTGTCTATTGTTGGCTATGCGGGTCCAAGCTATCCCTGCTAATTTCCTAATATCATGGTAGCATCTTAGGCTTGGACTTTTAATTTCACGTGGGTACCATGTTGTAATTTTGTAGTCCGTTATCTGTCTTTCTTGTCAGGTGTCTTGTCCATTGCCACATAAGGAATTTGATTCTCTAAATGACATCTATTACCTCTGTCTTTTGTCGTATCCACTCTATTTTTTGCGGCGGTTCTTTGTTATTCCCAGCTTATTTCGTCATATGGAGCGATGTATGGCCTGCAGTTTCCTTATCATGTCAGTTTTGAGTCCAGGTTTCGCATGCATAGGTTATGATTGGTAGTATACATTGATTGAATGTTTTCTTCTTTAGATAATGTAGTAATCTTGATTTGAATATGATTGTTTCTTCCGTATGTACTCCATGCTAATTTAATTCTTCTTTTGATTCCTGCTAGTAGAGGTCCTGAAATGTTTATTAGTTGTCCCAACTATGTATATTCTATTTCCAGTGATGTGTTATTTATTAGAATACACTCTTCATACATTACTTTAGTTTTTGCTAAATTTATTTTGAGACTTACTTTATTGCTGGTTGTATTTAATTCGTTGATTTGTACTTATAGTTCTTCAGGACTATTGGCCATTAGGACCATGTCATCAGCGAATCTTGGATGGTTAAGATATTCCTTAGTTAGTTGACGCAAGATATTTTCTAGTGTTGCTGTAAACAGCTTTGGGATATCGCGTTTCCCTGTCGTACTCCGTTATAAATTGGGCATTTTGGGATTTCAAATATATGTCCGGCGATCATTGTACAAACTATATCTATCTTTATTCCTTATAGGACTAATAAAGAAGAATTGAAATATGCCCAACTGCACACTCTAAACGAATCTGAATTAATTGGTTTTGAATCTGAAATATCTACAACTCTTTCTTCGTATCTGTCAGAAAACTTGACAGATGTTGAAGCTAATTTCACAACAACAATATCGCCTACGGGATGGCTTGAGAACATCACTGATGTAAACTCTAGTGTAATAAATGATGACGCCATTTCAAGAATACAAAGAGGCGTGTCTACTTCTACAGATATGTTAGAAAGAGACACTTATATTTGGATTTATACTCTCTTGATTTTGGGCGCTGTTATTTTGACAAGTTTTAGGTAAGTTTCGAGTAATAAATCGTTTTTATTAAGGGAATCCAGGGTGTTTAAAGCGAATATATATTTTAGATCTACCCTTTTCTACAAAGTATGCATGAAAGCCTCAAAAACTCTACATAATAAAATGTTTGCCAGTATATTAAAAGCACCCATGGTCTTTTTTGATACAAACCCTTCGGGCAGAATCCTAAACAGATTCTCTAAAGACATGGGAACTGTCGACGAAATATTACCTAGATGCATGCTCGATACTATCCAGATTTTGCTCGTTATGAGCGGTATCTTGGCGATGGTACGTCCAACTGTAATATTCTTAATTCTATCAAAAAGGTTACAGATAATTTTTAGGTGTTTATAGTTAGTCCGTGGATGATCATTCCGGCGATTGTTCTAGGATACCTCTTTATTTTTGCCAGAAAAATTTACTTGTCGTCGGCTCAGGATATTAAGAGATTGGAAGGTGTAACTAAGGCTCCTGTATTCTCACATGTGTCCGCTAGTTTGCACGGATTGTCGTCTATTAGAGCGTTCAAATCACAGGATTTAATTGTCAAAGAATTTGACACATTGCAGGTAAGGTTATGTAGTGAAGCTTTAAGGCCGAAATGCAGTATTCTGGAAAGCCAAAAATGATGATCAAAAATATTTCAGGATCAACACACTGCAATTTGGTTCATGGTTTTATCCACAAGCGAGGCTTTGGGATTCTATTTGGATGTTATTAGCACACTGTTTTTAGCCTTAGTCACATTCCAGTTTATTATATTTGAAAATGAAAATACTCTAAGTGGCAATGTTGGTTTAGTAATTGCCCATACTCTTATTTTGACAGGTATGTAATATTTTATGATTCTTTATTGCCATTTGACCTCGTCACTTTATATTAAGAGTGTGTTCCATATATATATATATATATAATATTCTAGGTTAGCGGTTACGTAAATATAAATGTGTAAAATTTCTGCATATATATACGTAACACGGTTCCTGAAATTTAGTTGCTTTTTCAGTAACAATTTTCTTAGTAAACTAACCAAAGAAAATTACCGGTTGGAGCTGTTAAGTCTACGTCTATTGTGCCTACCTGCGCATTTAATTATTAGCAAATGCCTATCACGAATGTCTTTTGTTTACAGTAACCTAAGGTGTCCCGTAATTAAGACAATTTTTTCAGTATCCCACGTTGGGCGCCAAACATAGAATTTCTTAAGAACTGTCAGATATTTCACTGGGTGATTTCTCAAGTATTTTTAAGGTAAAAAGTTTATATTAACACGTGTTCTAAAATGCTTCATTTTCGAGACACAAGGCGTCAAGTTTTGAGATAAAAATCGGTTTTTCATATCTTCGGAGCAACCCCCGATATTTTATGAAATTTGGTACAGATTTTTTCACCATTAAGGAAATTTTTGACTAATAAATATTTTTGAAGCAAAAAAATGGAACCCTCGATTTTTCTTAATATAAGTCAATTTTTCAGGATCTGTGTTCTGTAATAATACAAATTTTATGCAAAGCATAAAATCGGAACAAAGAATTACAAACATTATCTTCAAGAAAATATCCAAAAGTTTGAAACAAAGCACTATAATAAACGATTTCTTTCATGATTTTAAGGCATGTTACAATTTGGTGTTAGGCAATCAGCCGAAGTATCTTCCAACATGACTAGCGTCGAGCGCGTGCTTCAATACACTCGACTAGACGAAGAAGGACCTTGGGAAGCCCTTCCCGCTTACAAGCCTCCTTCTGATTGGCCGGAACGTGGTCAGGTGACGTTTAGACACGCCTACTTAAGGTATTTGCCTGACGGGCAACCGTCGATTAGGGATTTGAACGTCGAATTCAAGGCTGGGGAGAAAATTGGTGTTGTTGGGCGTACAGGGGCAGGTTAGTAATTGTTGAATAAATAGGCAAAAAAACTCATGTACACCTAACGTTTTACCTGTTCAATCAGAACGTTTCAAGTATAACATTGTGTTGACAAAAAAAAACGAAAGTTTTACTTAAACTGAATTAGAAAACTGACGGGATCATTCAGTTTTACACGTAAACTGTCGTTTTACCTACACTGAAAAAAAAGTTATATACAGGCCAGTCTTTAATGCGTCTTATCTGAGACCTTTTTCACTGACAGGTAAAACGTTACGTGTACTCGGAGCTTTAGACAAACAAAATCTGTTTTACTTTAATCTCTAAATAATATAAAGCTCATTTGAAATAAGATTACTTTTTGCGGACACTATAACATAGGTTACAATTGGGCGCGGTCCAGTTTTTTAGTCAATTATTTTTTTCAAAGGAAAATCATCTCTGGTGGCAACACTGTTTCGGCTGGCTCCTGTAGACGGACACGTACAAATCGACGACCAGGATACTGCTAACGTTGGTCTCAGGAATCTACGTTCCTCCATATCGATTATACCTCAAGTGCCAATATTATTTTCAGCTAGTATCAGGTAAGTACAGTTCTCTATCAAGTTGTTGAACTGTTTCTAAATATATTTTTACGTAATTTATGCTGCTTTAAAAAATCTCCACACAAAAATTATCACTCTTGTAAATTTGTCAGTTAACTCAATATTTTTGTCAGGTATAATTTGGATCCATTTGAAAGAAGCACTGACGAACAACTGTGGAAAGCATTAGAAAGAGTGGAACTGAAACAAAATGGGGTGGCTTTAGACACGGCAGTTAGCGAAGGTGGGGTGAATTTCAGTGCCGGACAACGGCAACTTATTTGTTTGGCCAGAGCTATAGTGAGGTATAAAATAAATAAATATATGGTCAGTCTACAATAAAAACACACTTCCAAAGTCCAGTTATTTCATTTTTGACTTATTTATGTCATATAAACCAGACTTCTAAGAATTATAGTCTTCATTTTAAAATTATTTTTATATTCATTAGGTCCATAATGGCGTTATATTTGTTCAGTAAAAATACATTAAAAATTATTCGTTTTTAGACTTAGTGTGTTTTGCTTGTAGACCAACGATTTATAGTTTGTCTACGCAAGAGAAGATATGATTTCAAAACATGTAGAAAATGATAGGCTTGTCAACTGTCACTAATGTCATATATTCTTTAGCGAGAGAGACTATAAGTCGTATAGATCATACCCTTTGAATAAGAAGACTAAGGAAGGAGCATATCAAAAATCTTAGGTACACCGCGATGGGCCTCAAATATGGCCGACTTAAATTCCGGTTTATCAGTGTCGTTCTAATTTTATTTAAAAAATGTAAAACTATGATGTAGGGTAGACGTGGGGTAGACTCAATAATTTGTTGTTTTATTTATGTTGTGAATAAATGTTGGTAGTTATTAAAATTGTTATAAAAATATATAATTCTAATAAAAATAGATAAGTTATAATAAGTATTTATTAACACAAACATCCGATACGCTACTGAAGCAGGTAAGTCAAATTAACGTATCTAAATTCTTTGACATCTAATCTTTGACAAGTAATAAATAAAAGCTAAAATGCAAGTAAAATATATAATTTAGTTAATTTAACTGAATTTCATAAATGATCGGTTTACTACACGTATGTATATTATATAGTCACTTACTAGCGAAAAGTTGTTCCATTATTTCACTCAATTTTTGCCGAGATCTACCGCACGCTACAAAACCAACTATTTTAGAGTCTTTTTCGATAAATCGCGATAGTGTCACTGTTAATTTAAGTTCTGCCACAATTTCTATCTAGATTTACTACCTTTATACAACTATCAGTAGTAGAATAAATAATAAATAACATAAAATAAGCTCCGTAAAGACTGACAAATCCACAAAATTTCAAATCAAATTCAAATGTGTCAAATGAATCGTCAAACAGAACTGTCAAGGATCCCCACCCTAGAGTGCTTTTATGGTGCTTTTTTCGCCCACCATGCATAAATACATGGATAGCATTATGCTCCTTCCTTAGTCTTCTTATTCAAAGATCATACCAAATAAACTTTTAGTCACGTGAATTGACAGGCACAGCGTTGCCGACTTTTACAATTTTCTTTTAATCAAAATAGTCCAGGAAACCAAAATAAATTAATTATTAATATATACGCTAGTATACTATAACAGCTATTATTTACATCAACAAAATTCACCTCCTTAACAGCACTTAAGGGACATAAAGGGATATTACTACCACGTTCCCGTTCATAATATTCTAACAAAGTTGCGATGAGTTTTTTGCAATGGCTGTTAAGCTGTTTTAGCATCTTGTACACTTCGCATTAAAAGCGGTTCTAAAAAAACAAATTTCGACTCCAATGCCTGCTAGTAAAAATTTTTAGGCTTAAGTATCACAACACAACCAAAAACTCTTAATACGAAACAAAGTATCAAAACGAATGAAAATATCAGGAAATCAATAAATAAATGTGGCAACTTGACATTTTTTATAGCAGAGCTACAACCTGAATTGTCAGCGGGAATTTTAAATTCCAGTTAGTCGGCCCGGCGCCGAATATGTCAATGGTTGGCTACAATTAATTTAATAATCGCACCCTCATTGACGTAACTAAAAGTTTATTTGGTATTGCATATACCTTTTTACCAATTTATTTAATATTCTGGTTTTTAGGAATAATAAGATTTTGGTAATGGACGAGGCAACTGCAAACGTAGATCAGCATACCGACTCTCTTATTCAAAAGACAATCAGAGAAGCTTTTAAAGACTGTACGGTAATTACTATTGCACACAGGTAACTTGTTCTTATTTACACTATTATACAATACTTTAAAAATAACCGACACACTTAAAATTTACATAGGATTTCCTAACCTAACCTAATCGATGCATAACAACCCCATATAAACTTACCGTAATATTAATTTCTAAATTACTCTTTTATAGACTGAACACTATAATAGATTCTGACAAGGTTTTGGTTATGGATGCCGGCAGCGCCGTAGAGTTCGATCATGCGCACGAATTACTTAGAAAGAAAGAGGGTTATTTTACGACAATGGTTAAGCAAACAGGCCCCAATATGGAGGCTAAACTAAGACAACTAGCCAAAGAAGCATACCAAAAAGAGACCATTAAATGGAACGGACATAGCGACAATGACAACAACGACGATAGAGAATGATATAGAAATAAATTAAACGTTCTGAAGAGTAACAAACAGTATATGCAGAGTAACAAAATATTAATGGATCTAAAAATCATGACAATATTTTCTGAAAAAAAAAACGTACTGAAGATCTAAAATGCAATGGAAATATTAGCTTCCAGTATAATTGACAATTACTATTATTTTTCTCGAGAATAATACCATACGATCGAAAAAAAACAGCGTCAGAGTTGGTTTGTGAATGAAGGAGACTCAAGATGACGTGACGCCGTTTTTTTTTCGATCGTCGGGTTATATTTAATAAGTGTGCCTTATAAGCTTCAGGATAATTATGATACTTAAATTATACGTGTAATGTAAATAATAATTAATATACAGGGTGAGTCAATGATATAGTTCATTATCTCATTTGTTTTTTGGGAATTGCAAAAAAATATATAGAAAAGTTTTAGTGTATGTTAAGATAAAAAATTTAAATTATTTTTCAGCATACAGGGTGCCTCAAAAAAGTATGGCGGATATAACACACTGGTTTTTAATATAACATCCTATTTTTTACTTAAATTTGGTAGGAGAGTTTTATAAAGATGAAAAACAAATAGATAAATGCAAACATATTTGAGTAAAGTGTTACAGGGTGATCAAAATAAATTAACGAATTTCGGTTATTTAAAATTAAAAAATCTGATTTTTTTAAAGGACACTCTATAGGTATTTTTTTTTGTTTTTTCTTAAATTTTTATAATTCAAACAAATGAGATAATGAATTTATTCTATAGTTGGCTCACCCTGTACAGGATGACACAGTGTTCCGAAAAAAACCTCTTAATATTTACTTATAGATTACAATATTTCTTACAAAAATGGGGTTGCTTTAAATGAACGAAAGTCTACATTAATTTGTCCTTTTTTAATTTTGTCTAGGTGAAAATCTGGAATATTAATCTTAAATATTTGTGAAAATAGCTCTTTCAGAACGTTGGGTAACCCTGTATATTATATTGTAAAGAAATTATGGTTTAAAAATAGTTTCCATCACTTCTGTGTTCAAATTGCTTTAGTAATTATATTTTTGTTGATCAATATTTAAACACTTAAGTACTTATCTTTATTTATGAACAACTTTTTTTGACAATTTACATTTGAGTAAATATTAAAATACACTAATTATAATAATTTATTAATTTAAGTACTTTCAACAGACTTACTTATAATTAATGTTATTTATACTTAAAAGATCCATTTTAATATTTTAGTACAATATAAAGTACTTAGGTAGAATGTACTAATAAGTTATTTTTTTTATTAATTTATAGGCTTGTTAATAATTTATTCAGTGATAAAACCAAATATACAATATATTTATAATTTTCAGTTTAATTTCAAAAATATATTTATACAAAATTGGCCATTCTGGTAGTATCTAATTATTTGATAAAAAATATGTCCACTACATATTTTAATGTTTCCTTTTGTTATTTTTGTGTAATCTTCCTATTTTTCTGGTCTTATATCCTTATTTTTTGATATCAATTATAATTTGAATCATATAAGATGAACATCTCCATTTTTAACTAAATTACTAATACTTTTGTAGCCGATCAATACTTGTGCCCCTGTTGTTAAATCAATCAAATCATTGTCATCATTTCCATCATCGATAACTATGCCATCAATATTTTCTTTCGATTTTAGGAACACCATACTGTGTATATTTGGGCTGATAATTTGTGTTTCGATAATGCCAGGACAGAATCTCATTACCGATTCAAAATTATCTTTTATGCCTAATAAAATGGAAATTATTTTATGTATTACAATATAAAAATAATAATGTTACTTTGATCATATTCTTGAGCAAATTGCAGTTCATTTTGGCTCAAATAGTTGTCTTTTCCTTGCTGACTTCTGAGCTTTTCTTGTTCTAATATTGCTGTACAGAATATTTCTATTTTTTCTAAGCGTTTCCTTAAATAACTGGATATAAGGAATCTTAATCTAGAAGAACAATAGTTTTAGAATTTAATTTTGTCTCTGAACAAACAAAAAACTAAACCTATCTACTTCCATTTGGTATAAACCTTTCTTAAAATCTGAATTGTTCAGTTTCTTTAAATTAGTTTCTAAAGTAGTGATTTGGTCTAAAAGTAACTCGACTATTTCCATTTTATTTGGTAAAATTTCGGGCGAGAACTTCTCGTTTAGCCAAGTTTCTTCCATCAGCTGAATTATTTCTGGAAGTGATATTTGTACCTAAAAAATAATGTTTAACATCTTCCAATACTGCAAATAGGTACAATTATTATGCAACCTCATCCTCATCATCACTTTCATTTTCAATTTCGTTTAGAGCTGATTCTATATCAATTTCATCCATTTTAAACACAAAGTTTAAATCTCATATTTTCAAAGAATTATTTTTTCGGAATTGTTTGGTTAATTTATTTTCCCGCCTTTTTCAGAATCTTCTTATTTTAGGGGGGCTATTAAATAATCATATATAAAATTTATTTTGGCAATGTATTTAAAGTGTCTGATTTTGAGGCGTCTATTTACTGCACTTGATCATATATACCACCTATGTGCACCTGCAATTTTTCAAGAGTTGTAGATACATTTAAAAATGTAAATTAGATTTTATCTAAACTTGTTTTTAGTTATTCATAAATTTAAGTGTTTCATGAATGTTCAGTGAATATTAAGGGAAAATAGCTGACAACTTTTGTTTATTTTTTATTGATTTTTTTAGAATACGGCCGAATGACCTAGGTACATGAGTTCAAGCCAAAGAGTAGAGAAAAACTACGTCAAATCTGTGTTTGATCATGTTTCCAGCCATATGTATGGAAGGGAAGAAGAACATTACTTTTATGCTGTGGTTACGGTTTTTTTAAGGTCTGAAATACAAAAAAGAAGAAGAATGCTTATGGCGCTATTGTGGAAAAAGTGAGAAATTTTTGAACTAAAGCGTTTTCAAGGTTGTCAAGATATTTTATTGTTATTCTAAGTCAAGACAAAGTCAAGATAGGGAAACCAAATACGCGCGTTTAAATAAAATTTTAATTTTAAACGTATTTGAGCGAAACCCTCAAACAAATCTAAATCAATATATATTTTAACTCTAAAATGAATTGAACCGTTCAAAATCATAAATATAAAATCATGATAAATCTAATAAAAATATAATACCAACTTTTTCAGGATTTCGCTAATATCTTGGCAACCTTGGAAACGATTTAGTTCAAAAATTTCTCACTTTTGCCACAATGGCGCCACATGCATTCTTCTTCTTTTTCGTATTTCAGGCCTTAAAAGAACCGTAAGCACAGCTTAATACAAGTATAGCAATAATTTTATATATGATTTGAGCTACAGAACAAAAATGAAAAATCAAGATAGTACTGAATAATTAATCTATGGCTAACTAATTAAAAAATCAGCTGTTTGTCAACTATTTATAGGTTATCTTATTTTTTAAATTTTAAATAATAATTAAATGCAAAATTATCAGAAAAGATGATAATTGAATTTGTTATTTTGTGATAAAACTGACTGAGGAGTTATTCAGAATGAAACGAATTAGGATTTGGTAACGTTTCTGATTTATTTTCTTCAATATTTTCCTTAATATTTACTGTTTTAGTATGGTTTCTGACTTTTTCTACCCTAATATGGGCGGGGTTGAGGAACACATATATAATTTATCTCAGTGTTTATTAAAAAAGGGACATAAAGTCATTGTAATAACGCATTCTTATGGTAATCGCGTAGGCATTCGGTATATGACAATGGGTCTAAAAGTGTACTATTTGCCGATAAAAGTCTTTTATAACCAGTGTATTCTGCCCACAATGATCAGCAATGTATCTCTATTAAGGCACATATTTTTAAGGGAAGAAGTACAAATAATTCATGGACATTCCGCTTTTTCAGCTTTATCTCATGAAGCCATGTTAATAGGAAATATCTTAGGCCTCAAGGTTTGTGATAATTATTTAAAATTTTTGTCTGTAGTATTAATAAGTGCTATTTCAGACAGTATTTACAGATCATAGTTTATTTGGATTTGCTGATGCCAGCGCTTTAGTTACAAATAAATTATTACAAATTTCTCTGGCAGCTTGTAATCATTGTATTTGTGTTTCACATACAGGGAAAGAGAATACCGTGCTGAGAGCTAAAGTAAATTCTGATAGAGTGTCTGTCATTCCTAATGCTGTAGATACGTATTCCTTTTTGCCAGATCCAAACCAAAGAATACCTTCTCAAAGTTAGTGGTGTAATAATAATACGTGTTTAAATTAAATTATACAGGGTGGCACTATCTCGCGCGACGCGTAGAGAGGCGTTTTTATCAAATAATAAAGTTACTGACATTAAATCATGAAAATCAAAATATCTAGGAAGGTCGATTACCTTAATAGTATTTTGAAGAGTTATTAATTCTCCATTGAATACCGGAATAATATACTGGGTGTTCCATTTCAAATAAAACAGTAATTTGCTTTTAAAAGTGACCAGTGTTCAATATTAATTTTGTCTGACTCTGTTTAACTTTTCTAGTCAAATTCTAATTTAGTTAATATGCAATGGTTATTTTAACTAAATATCAGGCTGTACAGGGTAAATTATAATTTAGTTATTTTTTATTGAAATTTATAATTTATTCTGCATTTTCAGAAAATGTTAAATATCTCAAGAACGTTACATTTTAATCATGTACTTCTTTAATGAAACTCACCTTAATTTTTTTCCTAGAATCCGAAAATCAATTAATATATTGGGTGTTCCATTACAAAAAACAACTTTGGTAACTTTTTTCAAGACAGCCTTTAGAACTCTGTATATTTGTATAAAATGCTTTTAATTAACCTACATATGCTCCCAAAATTTTATTTCAATACAAACTACTGTTCTTGTTGGAGCCTCCGCGTTGTATGAGCCACCCTGTATAACTCTTGTAATTGAAATATGGCGGTTTTTAGTTACTATAGTTATTGTATCTAGATTGGTATACAGAAAAGGTGTGGACTTGACAGCACAATTAATAGCAGATATTTGCTTAAAATATAAAGATGTTCATTTTCTCATAGCTGGTGATGGACCAAAAAGATGGTAGGTATATTTTAAGCAACTTAGATATAAGGGGGGCGCCCATTAATCAAGCCATATCTACTAGCTTTTACGTCCCACTAGTCAATAGACAGTTAAAGCAATGCACAATACGTATACGTATCTCTCGATACATAACGCAGAAACTTACGTTACGTCTACCGTTGCGTTGTCGTGTAAACAAGAGTTAAAGCAAGTATTTTGAACGTACGTAACGCAAATGGTACATTTGTAATACTAAATTATTTTGTGAAACAATTTATTTAATTTTAAAACTGAAAATGGATATCTATTATTCCATTGATTCCACATTAAATTTATAAAAGTAATATCGAAAAATGAAGAAAATTGTAAATAGAAATTATTTTATTACAGAAAGTAGTCCTTACAACTTAAAATGCTCTTAGTAATAAAAAATATTGGAAAACAGACACAGTTTTATGATTATTTATTAGATTCCATCTTTTAGAATCCTCATATGGATTTTGGCTAAGAACTAGCATTTAATTAAATAGATTCCAAAATGAGTTTATTATGATGCTTAATATTTTCATACTAATTTATTGTAATAAAGTAGACCCAGTTCTGTTACACTGGCCCCAAAATTTATGAAATAACTTAATTACTAGCCAGTTGTGGAAACGAGTTGTTTGTGAATTTGTACGTTCGGCATCATTCGGGTAAAAATCGAAACTCCTTCGGCTCGATACGTTTGCGTTTTGTATGTACGTAAAGGCACGTAAAGATACGTATCACGTATCCGTAAACGCAAGTGAATTTCTCACTGCGCAATGTATTGGTTCTTATAGCGGCAACATAGATACATTATCTGTAAAAATTTCAACTGTCTAGTTTTAACGGTTCATAAGATAGAGCTTTGTGACAGACGGACGGACAGCGAAGTCTTAGTAATAGGGTTCCCGTTTTTACCCTTTGGGCACGGAACCCGAAAAATAAAAACGGTTGTAAAAATTGTGGGACTGTATATTTGTGGGATACGAACCTAGGAATCTTCGATCCCGAAGCGACGGCCTCACCAATGGATCCACAGCTGCTCTTGCAAAATTGGCTATAGCTAGTCGTTACTTTCCGCCGTTCTTAAAACCATAAAATAATGCGACATCAAACGGCAACATTGTTGGGTATGCGAGTTGACTAGTGGGACTTAGAAGCTATTACCAAATCTTACTAGTTTATGCAAATATCACAGGGTGTGTGCCGATAGGGTTAAGGCGGACCACCATCTTGACGTCAGTTTTCTAGGCGATCTTCTGTTTTACCTGACACGGCAAAACTGACAGGTAAAACGTTATGTGTAGTCGATGCTTTATTTTAGGCTTCTTGAAGAAATTAGAGAGAGAAATGGCTTACAGGATAGAGTCGTGTTATTAGGCGCATTAGATCATTCTCAAGTTAGAAATGTTTTAATTAAAGGAGATATATTTTTAAATACTTCCCTTACTGAGGCCTACTGTATGGCCATAGTAGAAGCAGTGTCATGCGGGTAAGTACTAAAGGCCCAGCCACACATGTCCGTAAAAAAAATATATAATAAAGAGTGGTTCCTAAAGGCCGGAGCACGTGCTTCTCTCGTGTGTCGGTGTTCAACTCTCGGTCCTGACTCCTGTCAACACGGTCCGGACATGTGTGTCTCGAACTTCAAGCGAGACTAATAGGTGGGTACTGGCCTTAATATTTTTTCAATTTCATTCAGTTTGAAGGTGGTATCTACAAAAGTTGGTGGGATACCAGAAGTGTTACCTGAAGATTTGATTATTTTAACAGATCCAACTGTACCTGCATTAATGGAAGGTATATTTAACAGTTTTTCCCGAGTTTTCCATGTTAAATTTTTTTTTATATAGGATTGGAAAAAGCCATAAGAGAAGTCAACGCAGGTGAATTTGTGTGTCCCTATGAATGTAACAAGCGGGTGGAACATTATTATAACTGGCTGAATGTATCTAGCAGAACTGAAGTTGTATACCATAGCGTATCTCAAGAAGAACCAAAGACATTATCCCAAATACTGTTTAAGTAAGTTACCTTATAGAAAGTTTAATTTGGTAGGGCAACGTCTTAGCTACGTTGGAACACCCACCGGTTCCCGATATGTCACCGAAGTTAAGCGATGTTAGACGGTTCTTCTAAAGTGGATGGACGGGTGGCCGGGTCTGGAAAATCTGTTGTGCTGTTGTTCCATGGCAAAAGTGTAAATTAGAGAGTGTACGTTATCTACTGACACACACTGCTCATTCGCACCGTGAGTAAGAGTTGATTTAGACACTCTACAAGGCCGTAGGCCATTGACAATTATACAGGGTGTTTCAAAAAACATGTGCCATCTCTCGTGAAGAGATTCCTCACGTAAAAATAGGATTTATTTTTCATATCAACATACGTCTGATTCTGCTTTGTTTCGTAGTTACAGGGTGTTAAAGCTTAATATTTTTTCGATTTATTATAATTGTCTTCCAGCTATTTTTAGTGTTTCAAATGAAATTTTGAGGGTAAAAGTTACTCTAAATGCGACATATTTTAAAGCTAAAAAAGTGTCGACATATTCACCAGGGACGTACATATGGGTTAACACTGGAATATTTTTCTAAAAAAAGCATGAACGCCACTGACTTTTTTTCTCTTGTTAGCAAAATAGTGTCAGCAGTTTAATGCTGATTAAAAATTGTCTTTTGATATTTTGTCGATTTCGCCTCCTTAATGAGATAAACGCAATTTTATTAATTTGACACTTTTTTAGCATTAAAATATGTAGCACTTATAGTAATTTTTACCCTCAAAATTTCATTCGAATCACTAAAAGTACTTGGAAGAAAATTATAATAAATCTAAAGATTATTAAGGTTTTAACACCCTGTAGCTACGAAACAAAGCAGAATCGGACCGATGTTGATATGAAAAATAAGTCTTATTTTTACGTGAGGAATCTCCCCACGAGAGATTGCATATGGTTTTTGAAACACCCTGTATAACCAGGACCGCGGTTTGGATTCTGCGCAAAGTTTCTAGATTAGCCTTAGCAGCAAAAATGAGACGCCAACTTAAAATACTTTTTTTTTAATTCTTACGTTTCGGGCATCCTTACATCTTGTATGGCTGTAATGTCCACTTTTATCTTTTCTAGCTGTTCTATAGCTTGAAGGACTGCTTCACGCCTATATCAGCTTCGTATGTTCCATGTCCCTATATTCATATTCTATTTTGGTTGCTTGGGTCGTCTATATTTGTGATCTGTCTTGTTTTCCAGTTTTCATACCAAGATATTTTTTACGAGGAAAGGTTGTTGGTCCCTCGCTCAACCCTCCCCCTATATCCGGGCTTGGAACCGGCAGGAGGGGCTCCTGAGCTACTCAGTTCATCCATTCCCCCACACTGGCGAAGTTATACAATTAGCTTTGCGTGTTTACAAATAAAAAAAAATAAACCATAAATATAATTTTGCAGTAAAAAAGAACTTTTTTTTCAACTATACTAAACACAATGCTATAATTGATAAAACCAGTGATTCCTCCGTGGCCTTTTCAAAAACTGATCTAGATTAGATTCCTTAGATTCTTCGAGGTCTGCGACCTTTTCAGATCTGTTATGATCCTCTTCTGATCTCTAGGTTAATTTTCCAGTCCTAGCCTTTTTCAAAGTCTAGCAATTTGGCGCCTGAACCCCTCAATGGTCTATCATTTTTTCTAGTACAAAATAGCACACATTTGCCAAGTTGTCGCAACCGACATGAAGCGTGTTCTGACCTTTTTTCTTCAGTTTGTCGGGCCTGCACATGGTTTGGTCCGTCAATTCCGTCAGCTTTAAGTGAAACGCGAGCAACATCTATGTACGAGTAATATCAAATAAACTTTTAGTTACGTCAGCGAGGGCGCGATTTTTAAATAAATTGTTGTCAACCATGGATATATTCGGCCCCCGCGCCGGCGCACAATGGAACGAGTCCATGTTAAATGTTGGACATGGGGCTAAAATTTTTTTTGGGAAAATGGAAAACTGAATATGGTAGTTTAAAAAACAAATGTCAGCCCTCTCTTAAAAACTGATTTTTAGAAAACAAAAATGTATTTTGTCGTTTTTACAAAGGTTTAAAATTAACCGTTTTCAAAAATGCTAATTCATGTTGAAAATATTACATTACAATTTGATGTTTTTATTGCCCAAGCTGCGGTAGGTTTTTTAAAAAATATTATTTTTTTAATTTAACTCGTTCTTTGTGAATGGATTTTTGGCAAATTTTGTACATACATCTCATCAATCACCCACTATATATTTTTGAATTAAAAAGTTTTGAATTTTTATTATAGATCTAATCATCAAGAAATATGAAGTAAGTGCCGCAAGGTACCATAAAAAGAATAGCGGCATATAGTAGACCATTATACCCTTATTATAAACATATATAAAAAAGTTGCCCCAATTTGCCGTTTTTTGAAAAAAACAAATTTTGAACTATACGATGGATACTATTTCCAAGGGGCTTTTAAGTAATTTACATAGGTTGAACAAGTCTGGCTTTAAAAATATATTGTTATTCCGATATTATTCTTAGGTACTATCCTAAATCGTATATTAGTAGATTATATCCAAATCATTGCACCCCCTCTCCATTAGGATACATCTACGGTTTTTATTATTATAAGCAGAACTATTAAAAAAATAATTCTCAAATAGGACTTGTTAATGAGAAATTAGTGTTCTATCACTTTACTATAGTTATTTTCCTAACAAATGCGTAAACTGATACTTTCCCGCACGCCTTATTTGACATTTACCCTGACATTAACAAATAATGCTAGTCGTTCAAATAATTTTCAAATATGCAGTAATTTAATATGGTTATCACTTGGCTGAAATATTCAAAAACGAAAAGAAAAACATGCTAAACCATTATTTTTTAACATTATTTTGTCCAGAAAACATTAACTTTATCTAAAACTGCGTTTATTAAAATACAAACTTAAAAGTACCTAATTTTTAAAATTGTTCGTCATCTTCAATTTTTATGAAATATCAATTTTGACATTAAATTTGTATATTTCAAAGCATTGGCTTTCCAAAATTACCACAAATAATAAAATCGGACCAAAAATGTTTGAGTAATGAACAATTTTCAAAGGCTCATTTTTGTTGACCACCCTATATAATAAATTATTAATCTATTAAACATATTTTTTTCTAATAAAACTCAAAGTTCCTCCACTCCAAAAAAACTCAAAACGAAAAAATTTGATAACAATGAAGCAAAGTTATGGGCTTTAAAAAAAATTGGTTTTGGTAAAACACTATATTTTTAGGGCGCCCTATATATGGTTTAAGTTATGTAAGGCAACAATTTTTTGTTATAATTTAAGACGTCCCTCTTTGCATAATATTACAGTATATATAAATAATTTTAAGTTTTCCAGATTGAAAGTATCAAGTAAAAAACCTAATGTCCAACCGCTCCCATAAGCTCGTTCCACTGTGCGGCGCCGTGCTAACTAGGTGGAATTTAAATCTCTCGCTGGGAATTCAGGTGGCAGCTCTGCTGCAAAAAATGTCAAGTTGCCGCATTTATTTATTTATTTCCTGACATTGTCATTCGTTTTGACACTTTAGTTTTTTTATTATGAGTTCTTAGTTTAAATAAATAGTGTTGTAATACTTTAAGCTTAAAAATGTTTACTAGCAGACCTTGCAGTCGAACATTGTCCTTTTTAGAACCTCCTTTAGTGTGAAGTGTACAAGATATCTTAATAGCCGTAAAAAACTCATTGCAACTTTATTACAATATTTTGAACGGGAAAGCGGTCGTAATGGCCCTTTATGTCCCTTAAATGCTGTTAAGAAGGTGAGTTTTGTTGATGTAAATAATAACTGTTTATATATTTATAATTAATTTATTTTTGTTTCCTAAAATATTTTGATTAAAAGAAAATATATAAAAGTGGGCAACGCTGTGCCAGTCAAGCTTAATCACGCGACTAAAAGTTTATTTGGTATGAACTGTAGGTATATTTATACTAGTGATGGGAAAAACCGATTAATTTCAATAATCGAGTACTCGAGTTTCAAGCAATTGCAATAACCGAGTGATCGCTCCAGCAAAATATCACTCGTATTTAAAAATACGAGTTTTCACCCGTCGCTTGTTGTAAGTACTCGTTAACGCAAAGCGCCAAGCAGTAAGTTGCCTGCTCAGGGCACATATTCTTTCTGTGACGAATGGCAAGTAGCAAGCGGCCAGCGATTCGCTTGATCGCTTGATTTACGAGTAGTTTATTTAAAAGCATTGTCGATGTAGGTCGTAAAATTTTGTCCCTCAGATACGCAACGGATAAATATATATACAGCGTGGTATAAATATGCTACCTGCAATGTATGTAGAAAATTCGCTCGGCTTTTTATCGAGTATGTCACATTAAAATCGGATTTCAATTTGTATCATTCTAGGATCGCTTGCGTTCGTCGCTTGGTACTCGTCACTTGCATCTCTCGTTCATAATTGAGCGATATTGGTTATCTAAATAATCGAGTACTCGAGCGAATTTTTGCTCGAGTTATCTCATCACTAATTTATACGGCAGCATCCGGTTGACTTGATCCAAATACACTTTGATCGTGTCAACAAGGCTTTAGACGAAAAATACCGTCAGTTAAACCGTCAAAGCGTTATATGTAGACGGTGCTCTAAAAACTCTATTCTGAAACACCCTATATTTTTTCAGACATTTAGGTAGCGGCGTGTGGCCATATTTACTAGTCGTATCTCTGATCTATTTAATACTGAAATTCTACGAATTTTGGATACCAGCCAAGGATATTGATAGGGCCAGGGACTACAACAAGACAAAGACAGAAAGTAAAGAAAAATGAAAGTTTTCTTTTCTTCATATTTTAATCAATTACATCATTTTAAATTGTAACAAATTTATACAGCTGTGATGTTTTTTAGAGTTAATATATAATAATTTAAAATAAATAGAATAAACTCTTAAGCGAACAAAAATAAATATTAGCAGTTATTTACCAAAATATAAAATTCATTGTACTCACTTCGTTATTGATGTACAGGATGTCCACGTTATATTTTAGTCAAACGCTGTATAACGTGGACAGCTTGTAGGTACGTTTACAGTATAAAGTTGTTCAGAGATCGGATACACAGCAGGAATAGAACTACACTTATATGTAGACTGCTGTGTTTGGGAAGGTTTAACACAGTTCACTAAATTATCTACAGCAGTTCTTCATTCATTCTGGTTCTCTACACTTCATCTATTTTGTACAAGACAAGATATTTATTATTATGAATTGATTTAAGGGAATTTTTCAGTGTTTGTATATCAGAGAATAATCTTAACGTCTCATAACTTTTTATTCCATCTAAGTAGTTATTTTTACTTTAAAAGGCATTTTGACTTATAGTTTTTAGACTGGCCACTTTATTGGCTGATTCCTACTACCCTAACACTAACATTAATCCCAAGAATATGAATCAATGTAGACGAATGCCAGCGTTCATACTTCAAATATCGCGATATTAACATGTGCCTTAGTTCTAATAGGTTTCAAGAACATGGGATATTTTATATTCTTAGGGATAATGCTAGTACCAAATTAATTTGCGCATGCTCAAGTCTAGGGTTTTTAAGAATTTTCGAAACAATATTTGACGTGTTGAATTTGACTGTTTATGAACGTTTTTAATCATCTGTTCTTTCGTCTGGAAATGATCAGTGTTTATTCACAAACAAGTTAATGTTGTCAGTGTAGTTTTCTAAATTTTAACAACTTAGGGTAAGGTTAACTCAAAAAATATGTTTCATATGAGCACAAGCACTTACTAGAGTATTCTTATGACAAATCGGAGAAGTATGAACGTATATCTTTAAGTTATTAAGATTAATTTGTTCCTAATATGCAAACACTTTATACAGGGGTACTACAAATTTACAGTTTTTCCATAAATTAAATTTATCACCTAACTTAGCACGAAATAATGTTATAAATTAATATAACAAAAAATGTATAAAGTTAATATATTTTACAACCTTTATTTTTAGACATGTAACTTTACATGTTACTTAATTAATTTAATGTCAGTAACGCTTCATTCGGAACCTTGAAATTAGTGGAATAAATAGTGAATTCAATTATACTTTATATTTATCATTCACAATATTAAAAATTTCAGTTAATAGAATATCCCAGCAGAACCTTGCAGTAGTCAGTTGTATCCATAGGGGAAGTTTAATAATTTGTTATCTTTTTCTACTAATTGAAAAGTACTACCGCTAATTTTAACATTGATTACATTGAAATTAAAGGAAAAACTTCTATGTCAATTAAAACCACTAATTTATTCCACTAATTTTGAGGTTCTTAATGAAGCTTAAGAACTAACTTTTTAGTTTTAATCAATCTTAAATCGGGTTTTACCTAAAGCGCATACCTTTTTTCGACAATATTATACAACTTTTATAGAAGCATTCTAGAATCACATTTATAGTAAATAGTCTTTTAAAAAAATCAATAGTTTTTTTACTACTTTTAAGTAAGATTAGGCCTGGTTAGTCCTTAGTTTTGATTTAGGTACAGACGACTGCTTGGGTTTAAGTAGGAATGTCCTAGGAATGCAAACAATCGTTTTTTTTTGGTTTTGATTGTATGGTCCACATTAGTTATTAATTTCCGATAAACCCAAGACAATTTATATAAGCAAAACCATGTTGTATATAACATAATAGAATAACAGTGACCCTAGATCATAATATATCATGGTATACGTGGATATATCAAAGTAAGATTATCATTAAAAAGAGTGTCTTCATCATCACGACATGCCATTTTCATACCCTCTTTATTGCACTTTTGAAGCGTTCAGTAGGTTTGTCCTTTCCAAGAACCTTACTTCGCACAAGCGTGTTATAAATTGAACGTATTCTGCCGTGCACCATATGATGATGATGCAAGTGTGTTTTGCTGGAAGTTATTTGTATGTTTCTTTATTTATAGTTATACAGGGTGGCGCACCTCATTCGCCTCGGTTGATTATACGAAAACGGAAAGATGTAGAAACAACATATTTTAAGGGTATATGTGGGGAGACAATGTGCACAATTTAAAATTATTTTGAAATATACAGGATGTTTCAGAACTAAGATCCATACCAAAGTTATATTTTTTCTTATGGAACACCCGGTATTTTATTTCATTTTTGGATTTTTGGGCCCAGAAAAAGACATTTATTATAAGGGTTAAATATGTTTAAAATCTTTAGTTTTTGAGATATTTAAAGATATTTAAATTTGAATGCTACAATAGAATAGACTATTAAAACCCTGTACATTACTTTTCAGAATTAATTCTTATGCTGAATTTAAAGATAGAGAAATCAACTTTACTGAAAAATGGTATTGGTTCCTTAAATTTATACAGGGCTATCAAAAGTTGCTGATCTATTTTAAGGATATATTTTATATAAAAACTTTGTTATTTTAAATATAACACCCTGTATTTTTTTAAATAAATCGAAGCAGTTTCAAATGCTCTTTCAGACTATATTAGGGTTTCCTATACCTATCTAGCTCAGATTTTGAATTAAAAGCGATTTTTAAATAAAATTGTTATAAAGATGGCTGGTGTCGCCATGGCAATTTTCTAGTGACAGTTAGTAACTATTTTCAAAGTCGACATTAGTTTATGGACATTATTATTTCTGTTATAACAGTTTACTTAAATTTACGTATAACAGTTTAATACGTAAGTATTCATTATTTTATCAAGAAAAATAAAGCAGTATCAATGGCGGAACGAATAGATATGTTACTATGTGTGTACTTTACTTATATGCGATATTATTTTGTGAGGAAAATTGCTTCTTGACCTCAAGGGCTTATGCTCAAAGATATCCAAATATGAATCTTCCTGATAAGAGTTTCTTTGAAAAACTTCTTGTCCTAATTCGCCTGGTAGTGTGGTTTATAAAAAACCTTAATAGGTTTTTTATAAACCGCACTAATAATGGCAGAAACCTTTATAAACCACACTGCCTAATGGCAGAAACCTGTCGTTGGAAGTGAAGCCATGACAACACTAGCCATCTGGATTACAATTTTATTGAAAAATCGCTTTTTATTCAAAATCTTAGCCAGATAGGTATAGGAAACCCTAATATAGTATGAAAGAGCATTTAAATCTGCTTCGACTTATTTAAAAAAATACATAGTGTTGTATTTGAAATAACGAAGTTTTTATGTAAAATAAATATTTAAAATAGACCAGCAATTTTTGATACCCCTGTATACATTTAAGGAAGGAATAACATCTTTCTGTAAAGTTTATTTCTCTACCTTTAAAGTCAGCACAAGAACTAATTCTGAAAAGTAATGTACAGGGTGTTAATAATCTATTCTATTGTAGCATGCAAATTTAAATATCTTTCAATATCTCAAAAACCAAAGATTTTAAACATATTTAACCCTTATAATAAATAGCTTTTTTTGGGCCCAAGAATCCAAAAAGAAATAAAATACCGGGTGTTCCATAAGAAAAAATATAACTTTGGTATGGATCTTAGTTCTGAAACACCCTGTACATTTCAAAATAATTTTAAATTGTGCCCCCACATTACCTCCCCACATATACCCATAAAATATTTTGTTTCTACATCTTTCCGTTTTCGTATAATCAACCGAGGCGAGTGAGGTGCGCCACCCTGTATATGAAGTTTTAAAATTAATTTTCAAATATGGCGCGTGGACGTTAGTTCCTGACTTGAAGGATAGATAGAGTAGTAATACCGAGCGTGCATTAAAAAGAAATAAAACAATGGTACGTCGTTGATATGTTTGAGATGTAAGTATACAAAGTGTCCCAATATTTCTTGGACAAAGAACTATTTCTTAATTTAGGAATCAAACACTATTTCACTCAAAATCAGACACTATTTTCCTCTATACATAAGTGCTTCGTTTGTCCGTTAGAGGGTATCAAACTTTAGAAAAATAAATACATTTTTTAAGATATTTTTAAGAACCGTTGTTCGGATTTGAATGAGATTTGGGAGGCTTATATTTTGTTAAGCGCTTTAACGTTTGAGTTTCCAAAAATAAAAAAAAAACTGCGGGAAGGGTGAAAACTGCCTCCACCTGAGTTGGAAAACATTTTTACTATAATTTATGTATGAGTGGGTGTATAACTTAGCTTAGCATAGTAAATATCTTAAAAAATATGTTTATTTTCTTAACGTTTGATGCCCTCTAACGGACAAACGAACCACTTTTGTATAGAGGCAAATTATGTCTAATGAGCTTATTTTTATTCCAAAAATACATACTAGTTCTATATTCACGGAATGTTGGGACATCCTGTATATGATCTAGGGATACATTACTGCGTTGTATTGTTATTGGTATTATGGCACTACATCATTAAACTAAATTTTTTTATCTATTAGTACCGTATGATCGAGAAAAAACGGCGTCAGCGATGGCTATGGAATGAAGATCGCTGTCATTTTATATGTAAATTTATATGGGAAATGTCATTGATGTTCATTTCCCAGCCAACTGGACGCCGTTTTTTTTCGATCATACGGTATTGTCTTGATGCAAAATCTAATGTATTTTTTTTTTAAATTTTGGAAAGTATATTTTGGAAGCTCATTAAAAATATTATTTAATATAACATCGTAGATAATTACGCTTTCCCAAAAGCTTTCAACATTTTTTTCTGTTCAGTTTGAAAATTGCATCAATTCAATACATGTACGTTTGGCAAACAAAGCTATTGCTATTTGATTTTTCAGGTCCTTACTAAAAATTACCACTATAGGCCTATTTCGCTTCATATTTGGATATTTTTCCAAATCGTTGTAACATCCAAATTAATTTTAACTAAACTTCATTCGTACAAAAATTACTCCTAAAAATAGTACCAATATATCTATTATTTTTTTACATTTATAATAGGTTAAAAAATTAGTTTATTCTTAGATATGTTACGGCTAAAATGGACACTTGGATATTTTTAAAACTAACCAGCTATTTTGCAAACTAACTAAAAGTGCCGTTGAAGGAATCAGCCATATTTGTGTAAAATAGCGGGTAACCAGCAGCTTGTTTATAAACTAGCTGGTTAGTTTGCAAACTATATATTCGTTTTGGTTATTGTCAAGTTTATGATACTGTTTTAAGATTAACTAATTATTTTAGTTAGTTTTATAATAACCCTTTATGAGTTTGACTAATATAATATTATCTCCATTAGTTTTGGTCATTCAAAGTAGCAAGATTGCCAGCTAGTTTATAAACTAAGGCTGGATTTATAAACTCGGGAGTTGAGGTTCAGTTGCCGTTCAAAATGTTCAACGCTATGAAATGAACGCGCGCATTTATAAAGTCAGTTGGTCGAAAAGTTGGCAGTTCGTTTTACGTTCAGCGGAGTTCAAAGATGGTCAATGTTTATGTCGGCAGTTGCGGGCAGTTGGCGACCGCTGGCGACGTTCGGCGACAGCCAATGAATAAGCGCCTGTCGATCACGTGAAGCACAGTACGCCGATGCATTGGAAAATGACCCTTATTGTTGTTTCATTATTTCTGTTAACGTGATGTTTATATTTTGCGTAATCGTGGATTACTGTGTTTGAACTTTGACAAATACCAGAAGTATTTTTAAATCGAAAGAAAAACGTTCGAAATTTTCACAATTCCAAACCTAACCTACAACCGAAACTGACAGTTTATAAATGCAAAAATATTGAACCTCAACTGCCGCGAACATCCAACTGCAACTGAACCTCAACTGAACGTCAACTTCCGAGTTTATAAATCCAGCTTAACAGAATGGACTCTTCATAACTTTACTTGCAGGGAAATTGTAAGGTTATGTCTTTGTTTATATATGTATTTTGTATTTTAATAAACTACTTATATAGACTTACTTGTGCTACTACTATGATGACTAACAGATGTCTCAAATTGAATTATTGTCAATTTTGATATTATATTCTCCAGGAACTTGCAACATGCAACCCCGATATCATATTAGTCACCACTTTAGTAGCACTGGTAAGTCTGTATAAGTAGTTTCTTAAGAAACTGCAAAATAGGAAAACCGGATAGTAAATAATTATCCAATTCAAGAAGTGACAATGATATTAAAAAAGAGTTTAATAAGATGATTATTACCAAATTCAACAGGTATCTGTTTAAAAGTAAAGGTATTTATTAATATGAAATTTGTTATATTGCCATAACCTACCTTCCAAAGATCTACATTAACAAGAATCCAAAATAGACTTTGTAAACTACCTGATAAGTATCTAAACTAGCAGCTATTTTTGTAAACTGACATAAAATCCCAATTTTAACCATAGATATTTTGTATACTGACCAGTTAGATTATAAACTAGATGCTGGTTGCTCGCTATTTTGCAAGAATGGGTGGATTCCTTCAAGATAACAGCGCCTTTAGTTAGTTTGTAAAATTGCTGGTTAGTTTTAAAACTAGCCAAGTATATCCATTTTAGTCGTAAGAGATATATTTTGAAAATTTCAAAATATATTAGTGTTACAATTTTTTTATGTTTTCGATAAATCTTTTTTGTTACGACAATTTAATATATTATCAAAAAACGTTTAAGACAAATTTCTTCTTTTTCGCAAAAAGAATCTTTTAAAATCACTTTGCAGCAATGTTGCCGAATTTGGTCTTATTCCGCAGGCTGACTGAACAATATCAAATGTAGTATTCGGATGAGAATACTCTTCAATTTATCTAATATACAAATAGTAATATAGAGAATCATTATAGAAGACACTAAGGGGCTTATTATTGTATGCTAGGTCTGGTCCTCGTTGAGTTGTCTTTGATCCTGTGTGCTGCAATTCCAAGACAGTCTCTTGTGAATGCTCGTATCCCTGCTGTCGTTTTTCTGAGGATCAAGAAGAAAAATTTATAACCAATTGATGTTGTACAAGATAAACCAGGAATAAAACAAAATATCCAAAAAACAGTCACAAAATATTAAAAAAATATTCTAATTTGTCGAGAGAAGTTATAGAAAACCGAAGATGATTTAAAATGGCTATTCTACCGTTTCTTTCGTCTTAAGTGTAGTGTTATATTTTTATCGATATTACTATTGTTACCTTTATATCGTCCACAAGTCCAGCGGTATGATACCGATGTGTTCTTTTCATTGCCTGGCGATGTTGACCTCTGTTGAAGGAATCACAATTTTCATCCGGTTGAGATATACCTGTTGGTAATGTTTACTATCAGATCTATTGCTTATTTGAAAATAATTCTCTATTTTTAATTTAGTAATAAATCGAATTACAAGTAACGAAAGAAAGTTTATAGGTTGTTACACACGAAACTAGTTGGCTTAATACGTGTATAGCCTGTCCAGCGGAAGAATATATGACAAAGACGGTTGTCATTTTACTTCAAAGCTTCATTCTAAAGTGTGAAATTAGCGGAATAAATTAGTGGTTTCGATTAACATACAAGTTTGTTACGCTAATTTCATTGTAAGCATTCAGAGCATCAAAATGAGTGAAAATCATTTTCAATAAGTAAAAAAAAATTGGTCAAGTGCGAGTCGGACTCGCGCACGAAGGGTTCCGTACCATTCATTATCTATACAACATTAGACACTATATTATTATAAACTTTTTTCCGATTTAGCTGAAATTTTGAATGCGCGTATAAGTAATTTAAAAAAAAAACATGAAGAAACACATTACTAAAAATTGTATTAATCAATAATAAATATGTAAAAATATGTAAAAATAAAAAAATACGATTAAAAAAAAGTCGCCTTGACTGGGATTCGAACCTGCCTTACTACGGCTCCAGCGTCATAGCAGCGTAAAGTCCTAACGTTTTAAACCACGCGGCCACCGAGGACTTGAAAGATTCTATGTTAAATTCTTACTTAAAAGATAATGTTTAGTGAAAGTACTTTTTTATTTATAAACATTTATTTAATTCTGTTTTTAGTATTTGTTCTTATAGCGGCAACAAAGATACATTATCTGTAAAAATTTCAACTGTCTAACTATAACGGTTCATAAGATAGACGTGACAGACGGACGGACAGCGAAGTCTTAGTAATAGAGTTCCCGTTTTTACCCTTTGGGTACGGAACCCTAAAAAATTAACATTATAGTTCAAAATTTGCGAGAAATGCAATTTTAGCTTTTGATTATAATCCGTCAAGAGAAATTGTGGTTAGAAATGACATTTTTATTATTTTATAAACTAATTATTGTTCGGGTAAATTCGGATGACGTATGGAAAGCCTACTTAAGACAACTATGTCCGTGTGTAAGGAGCCTATAGTGATAATTTAACTAACAAAACTATTCAGCATTCACACTAAATTGGTGAGAAAGTGAGAAAGTAAACAAGCAAATAAAATAAATGTGTACGAGGTGCTATCATTTTCTATGAAAGCAAATTCTTTAAGTACTAAGTACTAATAAATAGATAGCTTGTGTTTTCCCATTGTCTGGACTTTGTATAGAATTTCGTATAATTTAACGTTGTGATGATTTACAATAAGCACACAATAAATATAAACAATATTAACTGATCGTTTTTAGAAAAAAGTTTTTGTGTAAAATTAGTGTTCATTTTGCACTTATGTATTTACTTGGAAAATAATCTTTAATATACTACTTATTTCTATAAACCTATTAAAAGAAATTATACACAGGATGGCTAAGATATAGGATGTTCAATTTATAATTTAATATTTATGAAAATGCACAAGTGCAAATGGTGTATTTAAAAAAAAAGAAAAAAAAAACTAAGCAATAAAAAATGAAGCGTAAAAAATATAAATAAATATTAAAATTCTAGAAGACGCACATAAATTACGTCATGACTCACAAGAAAGGTGAAATTACGTTGGTTCTTCTTCTAGCGATAGTGACGTGAAAAATAAAAGGACAGAATAGAACGGATGTACAATTTAAGTTATAATAGATAATAGAGAGTTTAGTAATACTGCCCTTAAAAGTTAATTCTTTTGTAATTTAACCGAGATTAAATTAGAGATAATACATAGTAAGTAAATTACAGAAGTAAATTTTAGGTAAATATGTATGTAATATATGTTTTATTCTGTAAAAAGGTTGCTTAAGGCGTATTTTAAATTAAGTATATATTTTTATTTCTTTTTGCTTCTGGCGACGGGGGCAGATATACCTTCTGAAAAGTTAAGCATTTTTTGGCGACTTAAATCTAATCTCACAATTCTATAATATATGATTCACATTTATATATTAATAAATATAAGTTTGATAGAGCGATATGGGGATTTGAGATACATAGAGCGATATGGGGATTGAGACACCTGGCAAGAAGGACAGACAACACATGGACCACAAAAATTACAGCATGGTACACATGCACGAGGAATCAAGAGACCTGGCATAAACGACTGGCATATCATCCAGCATCTGACGAGAATAACTGCCAATATCGGAGGACCTCGCGCGGAAAAAAGAAGACGGCTTCGGTAGTTCATTCGACCATTCTCTACGCATCGCCGATCTGGGACAGATCCATGCGCTTCAAGCAATAGGAAAACATGCTAGAAAGGATAAATAAGAAGCTAGCATTCAGGGTTGCATCGGCATACTGCACATGTCCAACAGTAGCGGTACTGTGTCTTGCTAAGATACCTCCGATCAGTCTACTGATCCAGGAAAGAAACCAAATATATAAAAATGGAACTTCCTTCCGGAAAGAGGCCAGAAACATTGTACTAGGGCAATGGCAGACACGATGTGGAGCATATAGCGGATGGACAAAGACGTTCATACCTAATATTAAAGATTGGATAAAATGCGACCAAGCAAACACGGACTACTACATCACGCAAGCCATGACTGGCCATGGAGTATTTGGCCATCGAGTATCTGCACAGGATCCGCAAGGCTGACTCGCCTACCAGCATGCGAGGCGTCAGACTCGGCTAACCAGACACTATTTGAGTGTCACGCGCACGAAGATATACGGGAAAACGCAGAAACAGAATGTGGTACTAAGATTACTAGAGTAAACGTCGGAAACCTTCTAACATCATCGAATGAAAATATCGAAGCGATTTGGTTTGGTTTGGTTTGATTTGCGGCATGTTACGGAACATTATGAAGAAAAAGGCGAAGGACGAAAAAGACAAGATCGGGGTCTCTAATATTGATGAAATGCCTTCGGCGGTACTGAGATTGGCGAGCTTAGAGCACAGATGGGTTTTTAGTGGGTAGACCCTTTCGCATGAGGGAGATCTCCACACTCTGGCCCTAAAGGCCTTTCCCATCTATATACAAAAAAGTGCTGAAAGAAAACACTCTCACCGTGACCACAAAGCCCGTTTGAATGACAGGGCAAAACCTGCATGTGAGTATAATGACGGAAAGCAATTATTAAAAATCACTGTCTTTTGCGGTTAGGTGTATTCGTTTCCAAGAAATGGCAGTATTCCATATTAGGGTTACTATTCCCTAATATATTTGGTTACTTTCCTCTATTATTATGAAATATAAGCTATTAAAAAATGGAATGTCTTTTAACATTTAGAATAATTAACCAGAACGTGTTACGTGTCGAACGAGTTACGTGTCGAACTTTTACTGTTGGAAGGTTTCTTTTCGAAAAAAAAAACTCTCGTTAAGGGCTAAGCTTAACGGAAGTTTTTACACGGCTGATACAAGCGCTGAAATCGTAAAAAGGCCCTAAAACTAATTTTGGGGAGATTTTTCTTACAAATCGATGTCGGTTTTAACGATGTCGTTAAATCGAATCGAACACTGACTTTACATCGAAACTAGAACAGCTGGAATTTATTTAATAGGATTGCTAGTTTGCTGAAAACATTTTTAGGCTATCGACTTCGTAGTTTAAGAATTACCACCCGTAATGCGCTCTATACTTTTGTCTTTTAACAAATGTCACTGGATTCTTTTACTTGTAATTTATATACCTGTACAGGGACATCATTTTAAGTGTCTCACTCAATTTACAATTTTCTTGTTCCCTATTTAAAGATAGTAGAAAGATTTTTTAATGTATTTTTTGCGAGGATGCCGATTTTCTACCTTAAAATTTTTTAAAACATCAAATTTTAAAAAATCATAATTGTTTGTTTTTTGATTTAGAAATTTTTTGAAATTGTTGACAGATGAATTTGACAGATAAAATTTCTGACAGATGGATTTTTCAGCCAATAGAATTACAGGAAATCTATTCAAGGTCGTTACGCCGATACACCGTTTCTAGGGTAGTGTGGATGCACCCTTAGTCTCTGATATTACCATAGTTACGGCTTTACTCTATGGTTGTAGTGAGGTTAGGTTAGGTTACGGCACTAAAAGGGATGCAATTACAGAAAAAATCCGGTGGCTCTCAAAATTTTTTTAAAAACAATAATTTTTTTATTTTCAAACTTAGATAACTCGGTTATTTTGGACTTATCTGAAAAATGGCAAAGAAAAAATATATTTCTTTTATCGAGATCTACCGACCCTGAAAATATTTGCACTTATTTAAGACTAACCCTGTATAGTGTTTTCAGCGATATTATAAAGCAACTGGCATTTATTATCTGCTGGTTTTAATTACTTTCTCTATACAACTGTATTATTGTTTTCCGATATTTGCTATATAAACTTTAAGAGCAGTATTTTTGGAATTATTGAATCAGTAAATAAGGCAATGCTGACCTGCAATGACCGGAACGTCAAAATCGAAACTGGTCGGTATCTGACTGGAACTGACGCTGGACGCCGAGTTAACTTGCCGCGTCTTGATCAGCGGAGGGTTCTTACTTTGCGATATGGCCAAGCTCCTTCGCAAGTTCCCTCTGGTAGGGCTTGGGGGAGGGTAGGAGATGCCCCTTTGGGTTGGACTGAGGAGGTGGCTGCCGTTCTTGTTGCTGGGTACCTAAAAAATGCCAAAAAATATTATGAAATGATGAAAATTCTCCATTTTTTTCTCAAAAACTATGGGATGTGGCGTATACAGGAGGTATAAAATATGGAGGTGAATACTGGGAGGACCATTTTAGGAAATAAAGAATCAGTCGTGGGTTCATCAGTTGGAAAATGGTGGTGAGGGTGGTTTTCACTCTTTTTTACTCTCTCGTTTTTTTTTGTGAAAGTTAAATGTTGAAGAGCTTAGTAAAATATAGGCATAATCTCATACAAATCAGAGTAACGGTTCTTAAAATATCTAAAAAAATGTGTTAATTTTTTTAAGTTTGATGCCTTCTAGCGGACAAACAAAGCACTTTTGTATACAGGTAAATTGTGTCCAATGAAATTCTTTGATGCCAAAAATACGTAGTAGTTCTATGGCCACTGGCCACGGAATGTAATATGTTATGGTCTTGAAATAAAACTATACTAGTTAGTAGTATTCCGTGTTACCAAATAACAATAAAAGGGAGTTACAACAATTAGAAAATGTGCAGATATATTCGTGCCTACGTGACCAACTAGTATCTAGCTACAGATGACTGTTTTGTGTCTATTGTCAACTAGAGAGCTACTGCATTTATAAAATTAAAAGAAAATAATAATAAATTTGAATAAATAATATTTGGGAACATAATTCCGAAAAAGCCGAACCGATCCGAAATTATCAAAAGCTTTGGGTCGCGACCGTTGCAAGAATAGCGCCAAATAGTGTTTACATTGTCCTTATGGGCACTTTTCCAATCTAAACTTGTTTCATTTATCTATGCCAGGATATAAATAAATAAATGCGGCCAACTTGACATTTTTTTTACAGAAGAGCTACCACCTGAACAGTCAGCCTGATGGCGAATAATGTCCATGGTTGGCAACAATGAATTAAAAATTGCGCTTTCGATTATGCAACTAAAAGTTTAATTGATATCAAATATACTGAATTTAAAAATAAAATTAATAGTTCTTAGAAGGCTTAGTAGATTTTTCCATCTAGTCAAATATAAATTAGTGAAAAATGAAATAATTGGACTTATGTATTTTTGCTTGTAGAGAAAAAAATAAAATAATTCTAAAATAGTATATTATTTGAGATGCAAGTTATTAAGTAATATTTATCTTATCACAGCCAATATGAAGAGATTAAACCTATACAGAGTATAAAAAGGGCTCGATTTACAATTCAAAGTCGAACCCGGGCTTACACGTTTAGCGTTTCTAAAGAACCGTAAAAGGGGCGTCAAAGACCAGGAATCTCGTTAGCTAAGTAGAATTTCAAAAGGGCCCGGAGTAAATGCAAGTAACCTTTTTCCACGAGTTTGAATCGGAAAATCACCAGCCACACCTTTGGAAAACTAAAGACCGCATTATTGGATTATTGGAACGATGAAAAAGTGGATATCATCTTTTATTAACGTAAATGTTCAGTGTATTTTATGTAATTATACCGGGTGCGTCTCAAAGTGGCTCACTCTATAACTTTTTATTTTTTCAGATAAAAAATGAGATTTGGTATGTTAGTATAATATGACATAAATTAGTAGTGATTGACTTATTCAATTGTTTTTGGTCACTTCCTGTTTCACCAGAAATGACTACAACTTTTGATTTTTAAATAGCATCCTCGATATATTTTTACTTTATTCGATAGAAAATGACACTCTGAATAGAATGACATATCATATATCAACTTTTTGACATTTTTCGCTTAAAACAAATCGTATTTTAAATTTCAATCTAGAGTGCCATGCTTGTGTTAAAAACACTAATTTTTAATTAAGGAGCCTTGGAAAAAAGATTTCATCGTCTAATGCTTTTGTCTTGTCCTACCAAAATCGTATTTTAGTCATATATCAATTTTTTCAAATGAAATAAGAGTGGCTCATTAGCATATTGGAAAAAAAAGTTTTTTTACGGATAATTTGATATTACGCACTTGGTATTTCGAGTCAAATTGTCGTTATGAACCCGATGTTACAATTTCAAATAAACCATATGCGAAAATGTTAAAAGTTGACATATGATATGTCGTTCTATTCAGAGTATCATTTTCTATGGAACAAAGTAGAATATACCGAGGGTTCCATTTAAAATCAAAAGTTGTAGTCATTTCCGGTGTGAAACAGGAAGTGACCAAAAACAATCGAATACGTCAATCAATCCCTAATTTGTCAACCATTAACCAAACCATACCAAATCTCTGTTTTTTTATCTGAAAGAATTAAAATTTATAGGGGTGAGCCACTTTTTGAGACGCACCCGGTATATAGGAGAAAATACAGGGTGATTCATTGTCAGAAGGCACTTTTAGACGTTTATGGAGGATATTTTTACATTCTATAATTAGGCTCATGTGGGGTAAAGATGAGACGACATATTTAGTTAAAAAATGAGACATTGAAATAAAACTACTAAAAACTTATTATTGTAAAAATAATATTTTTACAATAATAATTGTATATAATTAATATATTAAACTATCTTACCGACAAAGTATTTTGATTGAGGTTCAACGTAAGCCCGCCACCAATATTGGGTGACCCGAGGGTCAAGTTGGGCAGGCTCTGGCCCAAACTGCCCACAGGCTGCACGGACAACGTGTTGGGCGTTTGTGGAACAGTCTCGTTTTTAGGCTGCTCTTTTTGGGCCACAGGACTTTTGGAAGCCACGTCAGCGGGTAAAGATTGGAGACCCTCATCGCTGGATATGGAACCCGTTCTGTTCTCGTTCTCTATAGAGACCCCTCGGGATTGGTCTTTGGCCGAGCCAATGGAGGATTGGTCGTTCATTTCAACGGAACCACTGGAAAGAAAATATATTTTTGTAAAAAACTAGAGATGGTAATAATCATTATTTCTGATATTTTCACACTGAAATAACCAGGCAGCTCCCTTTTTTAAAATGAGATTTTTAATGAATTGCCCACCTCTAACATTAGGACACATTATTTTACCTATAAAAAAAACTGGCCGATCGTTTCCCTGCAACAATAAGTTCTCTCAATATAACAGTAAATAAATGGCGACGTTAGTTTGAGTTGCCTAGCTCTGGGTTTGCAGCAAGAACCGAGCAGCTCTTTTTTCTATTTCCCACAAATTTATGAACAAGATTCGAACTTTTCCGAGCTGCGGGCCCCTAGAGCTCTTAAAATCGCGGCTGTACGGTACTATACTGTAGCAATATATTTCAGATATTACATCTATTAGGAAAAAGAATATATTGATTTTTCTTTTGTCTTACTTGATAGATGTTGCTATATTTTTTTAGTCTATTAAGAAGAATTTGTGTGTTTCTAAGTACCAAGCACTTTGCTATAAATATCTTAAAGAGTCTTTTCACAGAGTGGTGGCCCATAGTAAAAACTTAATGTTATATTCAATTCAAAGCCGAAACTTATGGTCGAAACCACTGTCTAAAAATTATTTATTAGTGACCGGTTTCGGCTATTTAGCCATCATCAGACCTTAAAAATAGATATAAGTAATAAAACTGATATGAATGTATAAGATCAAATAAAAGATAGGATATACAACAAAACACATACAAAATTAACTAACAAATAAACATATTAACAAGTTAAAAATTACCTTTTTCAAAAATAACTGTTTGTTATTAATATATAATACATAAATATCCTATTTAGATTCATAAAAGAAAAAGGGAACGCTGCTACGTTTCCTGTTCCCAAACTCCCAACAGCTCCAGTCCACAGAATATACTCAATATACTACGCTCCAGTCGACTGCGACCTGCGACAACTGTGACTGGAACAGTCTGACCGGGCGACGGGGCTAGGAGCATTTTCAGAATTTACATTATTGCCTGCTATTGCTCCTATTGCTACTCATGAGCGGAGATGTCCTAAACTTGTAAACTGCTCCGAAATTTCACTGCGATTTTCTTGGAACTGGAGCAGTCACATACTGCGACGTTGGTGGAGCTGTGACAAAGTAGCGGACTGCGATTTCACAACCCACCTCTAGCACTTTCCAATCTAAATTTGTTTCATTTATCTATGATGTCAGGATCAAGGGTTAGGATATAAATAAATAAATGCGGCCAACTTGACATTTTTTACAGAAGAGCTACCAGGTGGTAGTTCAGGTGAACAGTCAGCCCGATGGCGAATAATGTCCATGGTTGGCAACAATGAATTAAAAATTGCGCTTTCGATTATGCAATTAAAAGTTTAATTGATATGAAATATACTGAATTTAAAAATAATTTAAAAATAAAATTAATAGTTCTTAGAAGGCTTAGTAGATTTTTCCATCTAGTCAAATATAAATGAGTGAAAAATGAAATAATTGGACTTATGTGTTTTGCTTGTAGATAAAAAAATAAAATAATTCTAAAATAGTATATTTGAGATGCAAGTTATTAAGTAATATTTATCTTATCACAGCCAGTATGAAGAGATTAAACAGATACAGAGTATAAAAAAGGGCTCGATTTACAATTCAAAGTCAAGCCCGGGCTTACACGTTTAGCGTTTCTAAAGAACCGTAAAAGGGGCGTCAAAGACCAGGGAATCTCGTTAGCTAAGTAGAATTTCAAAAGGGCCCGGAGTAAATGCAAGCAACCTTTTTTCCACGAGTTTGAATCCCGGAAAATCACCAGCCACACCTTTGGAAAACTAAAGACCGCATTATTGGATTATTGGAACGATGAAAAAAGTGGATATCATCTTTTATTAACGTAAATGTTCAGTGTATTTTATGTAATTATACCGGGTGCGTCTCAAAAGTGGCTCACTCCTATAACTTTTTTATTTTTTCAGATAAAAAAATGAGATTTGGTATGTTAGTATATGACATAAATTAGTAGTGATTGACTATTCAATTGCTTTTGGTCACTTCCTGTTTCACCGGAAATGACTACAACTTTTGATTTTTAAATAGCATCCTCGATATATTTTTACTTTATTCGATAGAAAATGACACTCTGAATAGAATGACATATCATATATCAACTTTTTGACATTTTCGCTTAAAACAAAATCGTATTTTAAATTTCAATCTAGAGTGCCATGCTTGTGTTAAAAACACTAATTTTTAATTAAGGAGCCTTGGAAAAATAGATTTCATCGTCTAATGCTTTTCGTGTCTTGTCCTACCAAAATCGTATTTTTAGTCATATATCAATTTTTTCAAATGAAATAAGAGTGGCTCATTAGCATATTGGGAAAAAGATTTTTTTACGAATAATTTGATATTACACACTTGGTATTTCGAGTCAAATTGTCGTTATGAACCCGATGTTACAATTTCAAATAAACCATATGCGAAAATGTTAAAAGTTGACATATGATATGTCGTTCTATTCAGAGTGTCATTTTCTATGGAACAAAGTAGGAATATACCGAGGGTTCCATTTAAAAATCAAAAGTTGTAGTCATTTCCGGTGAAACAGGAAGTGACTAAAAACAATCGAATACGTCAATCAATCCTAATTTATGTCATATACTAACATACCAAATCTCGTTTTTTTATCTGAAAGAATTAAAAATTTATAGGAGTGAGCCACTTTTGAAACGCACCCGGTATATAGGAGAAAATACAGGGTGATTCATTGTCGAAGGCACTTTTAGACGTTTATGGAGGATATTTTTTACATTCTATAATTAGGCTCATGTGGGGTAAAAATGAGACCACATTTTAGTTAAAAAATGAGACATTGAAATAAAACTACCTCAAACTTATTATTATAAAAATAATATTTTTACAATAATAATTGTATATAATTAATATATTAAACTATCTTACCGACAAAGTATTTTGATTGAGGTTCAACGTAAGTCCGCCACCAATATTGGGTGACCCGAGGGTCAAGTTGGGCAGGCTCTGGCCCAAACTGCCCACAGGCTGCACGGACAACGTGTTGGGCGTTTTGTGGAACAGTCTCGTTTTTAGGCTGCTCTTTTGGGCCACAGGACTTTTGGAAGCCACGTCAGCGGGTAAAGATTGGAGACCCTCATCGCTGGATATGGAACCCGTTCTGTTCTCGTTCTCTATAGAGACCCCTCGGGATTGGTCCTTGGCCGAGCCAATGGAGGATTGGTCGTTCATTTCAACGGAACCACTGGAAAGAAAAATATATTTTTTTGTAAAAAACTAGAGATGGTTTCATTATTTCTGATATTTTCACACTGAAATAACCAGGCAGCTCCCCTTTTTTTCCAAAATGAGATTTTTAATGAATTGCCCACCTCTAACATTAGGACAAATGTTTTTACCTATAAAAAAACTGGGCGATCGTTTCCTGCAACAATAAGTTCTCTCAATATAACAGTAAATAAATGGCGACGTTAGTTTGAGTTGCCTAGCTCTGGGTTTGCAGCAAGAACCGAGCAGCTCTTTTTCTATTTCCCATAAATTTATGAAAATTCTACCTGTTATTGCAGCCACCCTTTCAATTCTTATCAATCTCTGGGTAAGAATAATATAACTGATTTTTATTGATAGAATTACAATGGGTTTGTTAAAATATTACCAAGCTCTATGATTTTAAAAGATTCAAATGCAATTTGTATTACAGTACGTCTGTTCGTTCTGTAGCTACGGGGTATCCGTGAGAGGGGAAACGAAATTCTCTCCATGTTTTTCGAAAAAAAATAGACGGTGCGTCCCATCAATAAAAATTCGACAAATTTGCCAATAACCAATAAAATGAGTGGGCGGAGCGATTTGCTGTGACGTACTCGTCAAGTCGACGTATAAAATACGACGTTGTTTATTTAAATGTTTTTTGTCCGCATTCCTTTCATAGACACAGATCCAGCAGATGTACTGTACGTATTATTTTTATATAAAACAAATTTGGGACTATCAAAATGTTGATTTAATAACACTTTGACGTTTAAACTCTTACTTCAAAAGCAAACTTATTTCCAAAGTCTACCATGACTTCACTGAGATGTCGTTTCTTGTTCACAGTCATTGGCATCTTAATAATTATTAGATATTAATGTATCTGGTATTCTGGTATATTATCGATATTAGAATAAATAAATCGTTTTTTTATTATACCTAATGGTCATAATCAACAGGACTAATTGATACCGTGTTAAAAAAATAAGATAGTTAATGGGTTATATTTTCGTATTTATTATATTTTTGCTAGTATCTTCGTTTTGCAAAAAGATATCAAGATGCGGTTTTCGCTGACTTTTTAAACCTCTATTCCTCTTTATTATCACGCTAAAATTACATACCTATACTATTACTATTGCATTTATATTAAAAAAAATGTATAATGTTTGTTAAATTGGTTAAATTGTAAGACAGCGCCTCCTAGCGCCTCCTGTTAAATGCTTATTATTATTTATATAGCATGATATAGTTGAGAATGTTCTTTTAAACTATCTTGTAGCCTTAGTTTGTTAGATTCCGATTTCCCAGTCAGGAAAACTCCATCTAGATACTCCAATATAATTTCAAGCAATTTCTCATAGCCTCTTATACATTATAAATATGTTTTTCCGTAGACTGCAGTCTTTTCAAAGTCTCTTCTATGTGACTTGAAAAAAAATTGTATGACTCTACGGCTAATATTTTCGGAGATACAGCCGAGAGCTAGTGGAACACCCGGTAGATGATTTTTTTACCTTATATATGTATAAAATCAAAATATTTGCCTATATACTTAACCTAAAAAGCCATAACTTTATATGAACAGAAAATTACTTTACTTGTTGTTCAGTTTATATCGTTGGAAACCGTTGCCGGCATTTTTTAAGTTCATAGCCAACTATGATTTCCACCTTAAAAAATATATTTCTGACAAAAAGAGCGAGTATAGAAAAAACTGACTATGCCACTGGATTGTGCTTAAAAAGTACCTTAAGAACATTTTACGGACTTCTATTATTCCGCGAAATAAAAAAGTTATTGGCAATTTTCAAAAATTATTGAAAATTCAAAAAAGACCTTTTATCTCAGTTGGCAGAGAAAATATCGACAGGCGGTTTATGCCATTAAACATGCCTCAGAAATCGAGCCAATGGCATCTATGTCGGTTTTGCTCTATCTAGTCAGGAAATAAGGTTTCTTTGTTAAAACAGACCAATTTTGACCACCCTATACATACCTTTCGGTCTGTACTCCTTTATAATATCTATTATAAACTTGTATGTATGTATGTATATAATATCTATTGATTTTTGATTTTGGTATAAAACCAAATTTCTAAATATATGATAATCACGACACGCTAAATTATGGACAGAACATATTTTCTATTTTGTTACTTTTATCCATACGTTTGTCAGAGTTAAAACCCGAGCTTTTATCATATCAACACATTTCCCGCTAGTAAAAATTCACGTGTCACTATGCTTTTTTTAATCAAAGAGCAGCAGTTTTATCTGATTTGTCGCTTTGCCTAAAAATATACACGAACGTAATTTAGCATTTCATGACGCTTTTAAAAATATTCCCGTTTGGAGGAAAATTTGCGCAGTCACAGTCTATTATATCGAAATTGTAACGGATTTATGCAGTTCGTGATTTTAGATATTTTGTTTTGGTTCGGGATAATAAAATAACGTTTTAGCTTTCCGTGTGGAGTCGTCAACGTTTTAATTTAATAGAGTTGGCAGTCATGCCTCGTCGAATAACGAGCAGAATATTTCTTTGTTCGAAATTACTGCGTTTTATCGACTGACAAAATATTCAAACTTAATTATTAAACATAGGACTAGTTAGTCGGTGGTTTAGTTTGGGTTAAAATGGGTAAAAGTGTATCTCCCTTATTATGAAATTGTAAGTGCATATATTATTATTGCATATGTGTTACTTGCTTACGGTTTGTGATTGGTATTTCGTTTAAATTATCGTTTTTTGATCTGAAAAAATAAAAAAGTTATAGGTGTGAGCCACTTTTGAGACGCACCCGGTATTGTGTCCGGTATTGTGTATTACATTACTTTCTTACTGTTTGTGATGACACGGCTTGATATTTCGCTCAATTATTTGTCAATTAAATAATGGTGGATAATCGTTTATTATTAATATTTCTTTTTGTTAAACCATAGGCCAGAATACACACAATAACAATATAAATACAGGGTGAGTCTTAAATAGGTGCAAATATTTCCAGTGTTGGTAGATCTCGATAAAAGAAACACATTTTCTCTTGGCAAAAGTGTAAAATCTATTGACACACACTGCTGATTTATGCTCATCTCGTGAGTAAGAGTCGATTTAGACAGTCGCCAAGTCGGTAGGCCATCGGCACTGATATGGTCGAGGACCGTGGTTCGGATTCCGCGTCAACAAATTAGGCCCATTCCAGATTAGCCTTGGCAGCAAAATTGAAATATTAACGAATTCAATTACTTTATTAAACCTACCTGTGGCTGTGAGCCAGGCTGGATACTCTACTAGCTCTCGACGACGAAGCCATGGGCGATCTGGGAGCCAGCTGTAAACTGTGGTAGTCGCTCTCCAGATTATAATCCAGGTTATAGTCGGCATCAAGACTTTCCTCTCCAAAACTGCTCAGCTGTTTGGCTTGTGCGTACAGCACCTGAGCCTTGGCTATACCTTCTTTCCAACCCTGCAAAGAAAAAGAAACTTTCTATAGAATATTTTTTATACACACCTTTTATCTACTATTTGCTACTATTATATTTTATATACCTATATTTATATATTTATTATCATCTTCAAATGACCTCTCACATCTAAAGGGCAATTATCTTTTACAAAAAACAGAAACAGTATGGCAAGGATGAAAAGCACCACATAAATCTCACCCCTATATAAACTCTAGCAGAACTTCCACGACTACTGTTTTTAAAGGAAAAAGATCCTTCTAACATTTACTACATTTTTGTCTCCTTAATGTTATATTTTGAAATTGAAAAATATATTTTATATCAATTAAACTTTTAATTACTTAATCTAGCGCGCGATTTTTAAATTCATTGTTGCCAACCATGGACATATGCAGCGCCGCGCCGGGCTGACTAACCGGAATTTAAATTTCGCGCTGGGGATTCAGGTGGTAGCTCTGCTGTAAGAAATGTCAAGTTGCCGCATTTATTTATTTATTTCTTGACACTGCCATTTCGTTTTGACACTTTAGTTTTGTATTACGAATTTTTGGTTTAAATAAATAGTGTTGTGATACTTTAAGCTTGAAAATGTTTACTAACAGACCTTGCAGTCGAACATTGTTCTTTTTAGAACCTCTTTTAAGGCGAAGGGTACAAGATAGCTTAATAGCCGAAAAAAACTCAACTTTATTAGCATAGTTTGAAAGGAAAAACGGTAGTAATGGCCTTTTATGTTCCTTAAGTTCTATTAAGAAGGTGAGTTTTGTTGATGTAAATAATAACTGTTTATATATTTACAATTAATTTATTTTTGTTTCCTAAAATATTTTGATTAAAAGAAAATATGTATAAGTGGACAACGCTGTGTCGGTCAAGCTTAATCACGTGACTAAAAGTTTATTTGATATGAACTGTATGTCGGAATTACAAACAGGAAATCTGATATAGTAATTTCTCGGAACAGTGAACTACTCTGTATAATTCGCAATAATACACTATACTTTTTCCCTTTTTTTTATTATTCATTTTCAGCTGGCTTGGGTAATAATTCGAGGCATCGAACGCTCACCCCGGATATTTACCAGATGATTTTTTGCATCATCTGCTTTATTCAATTTTCAAATTATTGTTGTTTTACATATTTTCGATAGATCGTATCTCAACGCGAGATGCCTCTACCCGAAAGCGAAATGTCGAGAAGATGTTATTAGAATTTTATGGATCCAAGGATCAATAGACCTTTTTGAGGGTAAAAGAATCGTTTCAAGGAAGGGCATATCCTTATCGAATAAACTCTATGAATACATATTTCGTATTAAACGTTTTGATGGTGTTCCTGATAAACTCTACGAGATTTTTCGTACAACTTGTTTAATGAATGCATTTTAAAATCTAATTTAGATACCTAACCTGAATTTTTTACATTATAATTACTTGAATTTACTTTTAACAAGTGACGACGCGTAGATTTAGGGGAAGAACATCGACCTTACAAATCTATTGTGTCCCCTTTTCTTAAGTTATAACTCATCATACAGTCTCACGGCTTTGACAAAAGCGAGTATCTGTCACGGTTTTAAAGAGGTTAGTTTTCCATCTCCTATATCAGTCGTACCAAAGTTTATGACACGAAGCGTTGTCGTCTCGGCGCATTCAGTAATGAGGTGTTCTGGTGTTTCCTCATTTTCTCCACAGAATCTGCATTTGACACTGTTTCTTAGCTTCAATCTACTGAGGCGTTTATTAAGAAGAGTGTCCTATTAAAAACCCCGTTACAATCCGAAGATTATTCTCACTTAAATCAAAGAAAATCTTTGATTCTTCTCGGTCGTAAGTTCTGAGAAATTTCTTCGAGTGTCTTAACGGTTGGAATATTTTCATTCCAGGTTAAATATGGAGTCTTCCATGTTCTTAAGTTCTGCTTTAAGTTGGGTTCCGCTTGGGAAGCAGAACGGTTCTGGTCCAGTTAGTGGAGTATTTGCTCTTTTTCTAGATAGATCGTTTGCTTTTTTATTACCTTCTATCTGGCTGGCACCTAGAGTAAAATTAATTCATTTTCTGTGTCTAATTTGTTCAGCTAGGCATTCTTGATCAAGGGTTACATGTGCACACGAGGCAGTTTAATACATCGAACGTTGCTAGAGTGTCGCGGAGAACAATGGGTGCAGGGGGTAAATGTTTGACCAATTAGACCCAAGCAGCATGAGCAGTGAACGAAGCAATCAGGCGACGCGGTGGTATGTATCTGATGAAAGATGGCAACACGGGTGGAATTTTACGCATATTCGGTATATATTGATTGGGAGTTTTGTTTAGAAGGTAATAGATAGGTTTAAACCTTAATGCCAGATATAAAAATTGACGAAGATTTTGTGTACAAATTTCTATGACGAATCGCTTTTGAAATATAAAAAATTAATGAAAGAATGTTATATAATACGAATTTAAATTAGTTAATTTTTCTAAAGAAGTTGCACTAACTTTTCGGGTAGGTAGTCTTAACACGGTAAAGTTAGTCTTCACAAACATTACTTTAAAGTGTTTTTTGGATTTGACATAATGACACTGATATTGAAAAATTGGAAAATTTTATTTAATGCTTTGCGACTGAAAAATGTGAAAACCGATAGCCTATTTCAAGTTTTTATTGTTTTTTTTTGTTGTATAATATTTTATTGTCAGAAACACAATTTAACTGATTTGTTTTATCAATCGTTTTTGTTGAATATAATTCTCGATATTTTATAGTTTTGGATAGCTTTGCAGAATAAAATAATAATATATTTATGCAAAAATAGGTTTATAGAATTTAAAATAAATGTATGAGAAACTGAGCAAAAATAAAGCAGAATCAATCATCTGTAATACAAAATACCGTATGATCGAAAAAACGGCGTCAAAGACGGCTGGCGAATGGCAAACAATGATCATTTTGGCGAGGTCAATCTCTAGACGTCATTTACTAAAAATTGACATAAAACTTCAAGAACCAGCACTGGTTATAGAAAGGATAAAACAGGATAGAACGTTTCCAGACACACAAATCTATTTTCGAAAAAATATTTTTTCTTGAATTTTAAACTATTAAAAATAATTTTTACTGAAATAAAAACGAATTAAAACATTTTTAAGACAAGCAGTTTCTGGCAGTAAGCGCAATTAAAAAATAAAGAAGAGTACGGGCCAAGGAAATTAGGTCTAGGGCTTGACCTCTCCAAAATTTTCATCGATTGTCATTGCCCACTCGTCTTTGAGGCCGTTTTTTTCGTATGGTACCTGTTGATTAACAAACATCGTTGAAAATTAACATGTGGATATGTTTATCCACGTTAAAACCCCAGCTTATATCTCTGTGTTTTATCTGGGTTATTTTTGAGGTGAAAAATGGGCTAGAAAAATTTGCAAATTCATGTAGCTTTTAAAAGTAATTTTGTAAATTTTACCCAATGAATTTCCATTACATACGAATTAAAATGGATTTATGGATTTCGTTGTTTTATGTAACACTAGCGTGTACCCTCGACGTCGTTCGCGTCGAATTAATCATTTGTAATGGTGATGATAAAGCAAAGCAAGAATTTCCATAAACGTACAAACTGGATAAAATTTTCTCACATTTATGTCAGCATGAGAAATAACAATATGGCGATATTATTATATAACTTGGTAATATATGAGAGGTAGTTTCATCTCGTTGGAATTTGACCTTCGAAAAATCCGTTTGCCAAAAATAAGCTTCTTACGTCAAGCAGTTTAAGCAGAATCGTGGTTAAGAAATTACCCAACTTTTTGGAACACCCTGTATGATTTTTTAAAAAATTGCAAAATATGTAAAAAAGAAGAAAGACGAACCGAAAGACTAACCGTTTTTTAAATAACAAATATTGTAATATTTGAGGGGCGTTTTCACCCTCTTGAAATTTGAGATTCGAGAAACTCCTCTTTATCGAACCTCTACACCCCACAGTCAATCCGTTTTCCAACAATCAGCTTTTTACGTCAAGCGCTTTAAGCAGGATCGTGACTAATGAATCACCAGATTTTTCGAAACACCCTGTATACATTTTTAAAATTTTTTAAAATATGTAAAAAAACAAAATAAAATATACGCGTTTAAGAGTTTTTTCGGAAACTTGCTCGTTTTTTATAAATAATATAATAATTTTATAATAAAAATGATTGTAATATTTGAGGGGTGGTTTCACCCCCTTGGAACTGGAATTTCGAAAAATCCCTTCTTACCGAACCTCTACATCCTAGAATCAACCTGTATGCCAAAATTGAGCTTCTTACGTTGAGGTTTGAGCAGGATCGTGATTAACCAGTGAGTTAGTCACTTAAGGATTTTATATATTAGTATAGATTTTAGTACAAAAAAAATAAAATAATGTTGATATGGTTTTATGTGTATTTATCGTGAGTTTACTACATTACTAATATAGGTATGACGATTATGCCATGACGAATTATGAAGAACTGCGTTTTTGCAGGACCTGGCACTTTTTTACAATAATTCATGTTTTTGACGGGATAAAATTTACCAGAATTAGTAAAAAAATCAATTCTAATGAAGTAATAAACTTCGTTATCAACAAACAACATCAAAATATAATTCTGAAAGCTAAACAATACTTCGAAATAAATTTTACCAGCAAAAATCTTTTTGAAATCCCTAAAGTATTATTGGCTGCTTGTTCTGGAACGGATTTAATACATTCTTTATTAAGTTTTCGTTGCTATCGTTAAGGTTATATTAGATCTGTTCAAATAAAAATAACAACAAAATAACAGAAAAATATAAGCAAAACGAATACATAAGATATTTCGTAATATTATATTTCACTCTTGAGGGAGATATAAAAAATATATATTTTTTAATATTATTTCTTATATTCTGCAAACAAATTCTAGTACCAATATTTACTTTAATACACAATTTTTATATGGCCTATAAAATATTTCACATAAGTCGATAGGGTCTCTTATCGGAAGTATATTGCTTCTTTGCATTTTGTAAATATGAAATGAAATTGTAAACCCGATACTTTTGATATTTATTTCGACTAAAAACTGAAAAATACACTATACCATGAGTGTTTTAAATTCGACTAGGATCTAGGACTAGGACTAGGAAAATAGAATGGGATCTTCCTAGATCTCATTCTATTTACGTAGTACCATTCTAAACGTTAAGAGATATACGGGGTGGTTTAAATTGGGGCAAAAGTCCAATGGTGCCGAAAAATATATAATAAAGAATATTCTAGTAAGAACCAATGTGTTTGAGAGAGATGGTTATTTTAGTTATGTGCGTGTAAAAAATAAGAAACATGTGGTAAGGCATAAGCTTCTAGAAAATTAAATAAACAATCCAGGTCATAATATAAAAGTAGTATTTTTCTACTACGAGTATATATTAAGGTTATGAAAAATTATAAAAAAGGTATCTGCTAAAAACTAAAGTGTTCTTGAATAGTTGTATTTAGATATTTGAAATATTTTTTTTGCCTCTAACGACGGGGGGAGATATAGCTCCCGAAGCCTTAAGCATTGTTTATCGTTTAGACACATTTGTTTTATTAGTAAAAATCCACTGACATGCTGGTTTCCGTTTAGATTCAACGCAGTGGTGTTTACAAAAATTATTATTCTTATTTTTTAAATTTCTTATTCACTGTCTAAATATCCACGGTTTTCTCAAGATCAATAAAAGTTCATACTTCATTTAGTGTATTTTTGACAAATCATTATCTAACCGAGATGGTAACATGCTTTAATTTTTTAGAAGATGCTAATCATAGACAGGGAAATTATGAACATTTTTGTTACAGATAAATTGGTAGAAAACTTACCTTAATTTTCCTCGAATCGTTGCTTTGCAAAATAAACGCCGCCACTGCCATATCGAACTCGTTTCGGTAAATCACGGCCAGGCTCGGCGTTTCTCGGTTCAGTTCGTGGATGACGAGTCGATCGACGAGGTAAGGTTGTCGGATTACGCGCATGGTGGCTCCTCCTTTCTTCGTCGATGGTTTGCAGATGAGCAGCATGTCGGTTAGTAGAAAACAGTGGACTTCGATCTGAAAAAAAAGTTGTTATTAATTCTTAATTTCTCAAGCCATTTATGAATTAGAAAATATCGGAAACAAGAAGTAACAGTCAAGTAGTCTTAAGAGCGATCAACACAGTAAACATGAATTCGAAGTTGGTACAAAAATGCTTAGAGAAGCTGAACAAATTAGGCAAAGAAAATAAAGTTCTCCTACTCTGGGTACCAGCCCACTAAGGGATAGAAAGTAATTAAAATTCAAACGATCTAGCTAGAAAAGGAGTGAACACTCCACTAACTGGGCTAGAAACGTTCGGCTTCACAAGTAAAAACCAACTTAAAGAAGAACTCAAGAACCTGGAAGACTCCATTCGTAACCTGGAATGGGAATCCTTCAACGATCTTAAATACTCAAAGAAATTTTTCAAGATTTACGACCGATAAAACTCAAGGATTTTCCTTGATTTAAGTAAGAACAATCTTCTGATTGTCACGGGGTTTTTAACAGGACACTGTCTTCACTCTGAGAAGTAAAATGTCCACTGGAGAAACAGGCAGAGGCACAGGCATAGAAAGGCCTTCACTCAAGGACCTAATTCTTAAACCACAAAGGAACTGCTAATGCTTAGCAGAAATAAAGTGCGTATTACAACAGGTCTCTTGACAGTATATATTATAACTATCTGAACAAGCTCAACATGTATCAAGGAAGTCTTTGCTGCAAACTCCGCGTAAAGATCCTGAAACAGCGGAGCACATAATATGTCACTGCGAGGCTCTGGATCGCAAGCGTCACTTTTTATTTGGGAAAGCTAGACTAGAACCGGAGGAACTATGCTCCTATCCTATCAAGGACTTGCACAAGTTGGTGCAGGGTACAGGGATAGGAGAGTGTGTGCAGACATAGAAAGGAGATAAACACAAAAGACCTCACAGGTCTCAATATCTCCGACACAGGACGGCCTCTTAATATTGAGAAAAAAAGCTTCTTATTAAGCTCATACAATTGATTAACAATGACTGAAATAGTTCCATTATTTCATTGTGCGAAATGCTAGTACTACAACTCACTGAACTAAACGAACTAGACTTTTGTACTATTCCTTTGCTGAACGAGGTCGGAATATGGAAATTGGTTAAGTGAACTAAACTTCCCAGCTCTACCACTGTCCAGCTTATATTACTTTGAATCACCCTCTATATATTTAATCGCAAAAAAATGGGACCAATCGGATTGTAAGTAGATTGTACCCGAGACACCACTGGCCAGCTTAATAAATTAAACTGCCAAAAATAAAAGTGCGAGGACCGTTCGATTTGACAGACAGACTGGTTTTTGCCAGCAGCGCGTTCGTTAAAAATTGCCATTTGTTTTACTATTTCTGTGCGCCAGACTCAATTAGTGGGCCCAAATGAAAAAGCTTAATTGAAAATTTGCAGCCGAGAAGATGCGTACAAATTGGCAATTGGGCCTAACAGACGGATTAGCCGTGCATAAATCAAAAGAATTTAAAAATCGTATTATTTTTTTACTTTCTAATGTTTTTTTCCGTACATACATATGTTCTGACAGTATAATCAATAGATATTTTCCCGGTTTTAGGAAATCAAAAACTCTTCTGTACGTATGAAAAAAAACTTTGCTCAAAAATATTCGTATATCCGGTTAAAAATTTGTTTGTTATCAGCCTAAACGTTACATATAACGTAAGTGTCTCAAACGTCTAGGTCGCTGCAAAAAGTTGTGTCAAATGTTCTCAAACAAACTTGTAGCAGACAATGTAGCAAGCCATTTTAACGCCTAGGCATAAAAGTAAAGCTCTTTTACGCCTAAACATAAAATTAAAAAAATATGTTATTAAACTGACATAAAATATCAAATTTAACGAGCGTAACCATAGTGTCTCGATATATAATTATATACAAGGTATTATTTTTAAATCTTTTTATATTATTTGGAACGTTTAAAATTGTTTTTCTACTAGCCTAGAAAATGCAGTTTGACACACGGAAAACTCCATCTGAAATTGGCGTTTTGCAAACTGTTGTCTGCTAAGGATTTAGCGCACGACATGTGTCATTTTGCACACGACATGTGCCAATTTTAACACTTTTAACCTCCAATGTTTAGCTGAAACGCCAAACTGAGAGTCTCAGAGAAACTCAGAGTCTGCTGCTAATTTGTAGTCGTAGAAAAAATAGCGTAAAAAACTCGTTCGTAAACTTCTTTGTACACTCGTTCGACTTGTGGCTCGAGCCAACAAACTGTCGAACTCGTGTGCAAAACGTCGTTTTCGAAACTCGTTGTTTAATATACTACTAAAACATTATTTGTGATGTTTGAAAAAAATAGCTTGTTCCATTCGGAGTAAAAATGACTCCTCTCCAAAAAAATCCTATATGGTTATTTCGCCACAGCAAATAAAAACAAGGCTGTACTTAAACTGCCGTTAAACGGTAGCTTACTAAAATGCCGTTAATAGGTATGACGTCGTTGATGTGATGCACTTGACGGGCTTTATGAAATATAGGAATTTTATAAGGACGCAACGCTATCCACCCCACCAAATAACCAACTTAACCAACGCAACTAACCTCGACACTGATAAAAAAATATAAAAAACAAATATAAATTAGTAAAAACCAACGAACCCCACCAAAAAACCAACTAACCAATGAATTAACACCCTCCAAATAATCACGCTAACCAACCCGCCAAATAATTAAACCAATCCAACTAAAGAGTGAAATCAATATAAGTTCACGATATAAGCAAAAAAAAATATAAAAAGTCTTGGTCGGAGTGAGATTTGAACCACGGACCATTCGCTCACGAAGCGATAGCCTCAGCCACGGAGCCACAGGCGCTCTTGCAAAATACTTATAGGTAGGCATTACTTTCCGCCGACACGAACGACGTCACAATATTTATTAACGGCATTTTAGTAGGCTACCGTTTAACGGCTGTTTAAGTACATCGTAAAAACAAATTAAAAACATCTAGACCCTTAAATGTTCGAATTTATAAAAGGGGAGCCTTAATTTTTATTGTATTTACAATAAAAATGACTTCAAGTAATTTTTATACTTTATTCTCCAATTTTGTTTATTTCTCAATACATAACAACTAACAACACCATAACAACAAACTACCCATAATTCTATGCTTCCAGGAAGGAGTTGTCAACCTAGTTTTTGGCGCTATATTTAAATAATTCTTACAAATTAAAGAACATAAAGATTATTTAAGAAAGGGCGATTTCACAAATCTAAGATTTGTCAGCATTCATGGGACACAGGGCACAGAATAGATTTTAACAACGCCAAAATTATAATGAAAGAAGCGATAGCCCCTAAAAGAACAATAAAAGAGGCTTTTTTAATATAATCTAATAAAAATAAATGTATTGCTCATGCATCTGTAGATGTTAGTAATATATGGCAATAGCTTCTTTGATTTTAAAAAACATACGTAAAATTTAAAAATAATCATACAGAAAATTTGAAGCTTTTTGGTTTTACCTTATTAAGTAATTGTTATAAGGTAGTAATTGTTAATTTTGAAGTTTACCTTGATATAATGTTATTTTAACAGAACGACAACGGTTTTTGTAGACGTATCTGTTTAAAAAAAAACTGTTCTCGAATAGTTGGATTTACATATTTTAAATAGTTTTTTTTCTTTAATTTTTTGTATTTTTTTGCTTCCGACGACGGAAAGAGATAAAATTTCCGAAACGTTAAGCATTTTTTTGTTCGTTAGGCAAATTTATTTATAAGTAAACTCAACTGCTGACAAGTAGTCTCCGTTAGATTAACGCCCAGCAGTGTTTACAAAAAATAACTTTAATTTTTTAGGTTTTTTTGCAGTGGCGAAATACCCATATAGGATTTTTTAGGAGAGATGAATCCATCACATAGATATAGACATTTTTTAGGAATGACTTTTTGTGCCTCGTCTGTAATATCGAACAGCCTCGCTGTCAAACATACAGCCTCGCCACAAAAGGTATCATTTTTACTCATAATAAATCAATAAATCAATATACTATTTTTTTCGAGATTTTTTTCCAAAAAAAAATGTTTTAACCTCCGTCTGACTTTTTAACATAGTGCAATAGAAAACATTTTAAGCCACATTATAAAACCACCAGAGAATATTTTAAGCACCGTTTTTTCCATTATATAATTATTAACATCATATATTTCCACTTTTCGTTGCCGTAAGAGAGAACGAAAAAAAGGCCAATCAAATCTCCCGATTTTCCCAAAATGTCTTGTTCACCGGCTTTGACAGCACCATTATCTACTCCGATAATCTGATTAAGAAGGCTGTTAATTGATTTATCTAACCCCGGAAGGTCGCAGGATTTATCAGGTCGGAATAAATTATCTATTACATTTTGGTTTCAGTTTTCAAGGGTGTGGTTTTGGACAGTTGTCGTTTAAGGGTCATTCAAGGGGAAAAATCTTTTTTTTTTCTTGAAATATGTGTCTAAATCTAAATAATAAAATTATTTTTATAAATTTTCAACACCTTTCTAAGATAACTCTTGGCTTTACTTGTTAAAGTCTTCAAAAATTATTGAAATAGCCCATTGAAATTCCACCTTAAGACTAGTGTGTCCAAAATATTTCGACATATACATCTGCTTAAAAGTTTATACTAAAGGTTTCTGATTTCTTTTTCGAGAGTCGACCTCTTCAAAAAATGCTGAAATCATACAGGGTGTTTCAAAAAATATGTGCTATCTCTCGTGCGAAATTCCTCTCGTAAAAATAAGGCTCATTTTCCATATTAACATAGATAGGTCCGATTTCTGCTTTGTTTAGTAGCTTCGGGGGGTGGGGGGGGGGGTGATAAAATATTTTAATGCTAAATAAATGTCGACATATTCACCAGGGACGTGAATATGGCTTGTCACCGGAATATTTTTCTAAAAAAATATGTGCGCCACCCACTTTTTTAGTTTGTTCGATTCCTACTGTTTAGTCGTTTCGGTATTTTATTGCCATGAAAATCGCAGTTTT